TTAATCTTTTGTGGGTAATGGGGGCATTTACAAGACAATTTTATACAGATCAGATTATAATTTTCGTCCTTTGAGGATACACAAGGTGCTACAAAATGAAACAAAGGCTTTTACTCTGGAAGTAATATACAAAAAAAGTTGAAATTCGACAGCCTTTTTCGTTTTACTAATTTAAATAATGCATATAAATTTCATATTGATCGGATAATGACTTGTCGTTCGAGCATTCACGTTGTTCAACAAAGTAAAGCAAAAGAAATTATTGGAAATTGCTGAAATTCAATAGGATTCATTGTTTCACTAATTTAAATGATGCATATGAATTGCATACAGATAAGATGATAACTTTCGTCACTCGAGCGTTCAAAAGGTTCAATAAAGTAAAAATAAAATAAAACCAAGTACGAACAATCCAAACAATTAGACAAAATTCGAAGTCCTAAAAAACGGTATAAGCAAAATAGTGTAATCAGCAAATGGACTGTTCACCGTGTACAAAATATACGACAAACAGTGGTAACAGGTGTCCGGAAGAGTAAGCTTACCCTGCCTGGCGCCACACTCGCCATAGCTGCATCCAAACCATTAGACAAAATCTCGGTAAAATAGCTTGATTGGCCAATGGACTATCCGTATGCAAAATTCCCGTGATGAACAGTGTTAACGATGTAGTAGACATAATCAGGGCGATAGTATACGCGTCAGTTAAATATATCTAGAATAATAGCCGAAAAAGAAATGTTATATTTACTAATTATCGAACTAGGTGAAACATATACATTCCATAAGCTGGTGATATTGGAATGTTACTACTAATGAAACAGGGGTCATAACTCTAGACGTAATAAACGGACAATGCTGAAAATCAATAGGATTCTTCGTTTCACTAAATTAAACGATGCACATACATTTCAATTATGATAGGATTATAATCTTTGTCGTTAGAGCATTCACAAGGTGCAATAAAGTGAAACAAGGGCCATAATTCCAGAAAAAAATTAACGGAAATTATTTTAATTCAAATGATGCATATAAATTTCATGCAGATCGGATATTAACTAGCATTCACAAGATAAAACAAAGTGAAAGGACCATAATTCTAGACGGAATTAACAGAAACGGCCTAAATTCAATAGGCTTCTTCGTTTCGCTAATTTAAATGATGTAACAAAATTTCATACAGATCGGATGATAACTTTTTACGCTAGAGAGTTCACATGGTGCAATCAAGTGAAACAAGGGCCATCACTCCAGAATAAATTATTGAAATTAAATAGACTTTTTCATCTCACTGATATAAACAACATATTATATCAATTTCAAAACAATCTGATGATAATTGTAGTCTGTAGAGTATTCAAAAGTAACTGTGGACGACAGACGGGTCGCTCGACGGATGGACAGACGGGGGCGAAGACAATATACGACATTTCCATGTGGGCGTATAAAAAAAACCCTAGTTTATATGTGTATGTATGTTTATAACCCAAAGATCTTGGTTCCTTTTGATATTGCCGCACATGGGAACGTAACACCCTGAATTATGGTTCCTGATTGTACGAAATATCTCGTATGGTATATCAAGGTTATGGACCCACTAATGGACCCACTAGAGATCACAATTTTGATGAAAACTTTAAATTTATATATATATCACAAACATCTCGGTTCCGTTCGATAATCGCACATATCGGAAAGCAACTTCCTGGATTATGGCCCCTGATTGTCGGAGAAATCACGTTTTTAGCTTGTAGACCCTCTAGAAGTCACAATTTGTATTCAATTTTAAAAACCATTTATATATATATCACTGTTACACCCCAATGAAGGTTTAGTTCGAATTGTACACAAATAGTGTAGAACTATATAATTCCAAGGTTGTGGACCCTCTAGAAGTCATAATTTTTATCCAATCTTGATGAAACTTAAAATATATGACTATATCCAAAAGATCTTGGTTCCTTCCGATATTCGTCCATATTGGACTGTAACTTCCTGGATTATAACCACTGGTTGTACAAAAATTGAAAAAATGGCATTTTGTTTTTAGCTTGTTCTCCATCCATCTCTTGCAAAATGTGGGCCTATCTTGCATGACAACCGCTTCTTTAGTTATTATTTTGTTGTTTTTAAATTAACCATTACTAATTACTTCCGCGTTGTCTTGTAGGATGTATTTGTTTTTGTCCATTTCAAATGGCACCCGAAACCATAGAGTACACGACCCGTGTACTGATTTCAAAATGTTCATATTAGAATCTCATAATTTCACAGCTAGATAATAGTACAGAGGGGTGTCCATCAAATGGACACAAAACCAGACCCAACTTTTCTATAATAAAATTTTGCGTAGAATACGATACCGAGTGGTAATCAGTCAGCCGTTGGGGCGTTTTCGAGATATTCGAAGTCAAAGGTCAAATGAGATCATTTGCACTGAAAGTGATTGCGCAGCCATTCTTGTTGTCTATAACAACATCAATATTGACTGAAATGAACCAATCTTGAATTCCGACCCGTGCCTTTTAACTTTGAATATTATGGACAATATAGAGTTAGAGATTTAGCTCCATAAATCTGCTCTGCTCTTATATTAGTTTGCCCGACAATCGGTGACTGAATACTGTCAGACTGCATTTCCGCCTGTCTACATGTATTTTTAAAAAAATTTCTGTAAGGTCTTGCTACTCTTTGGCACCCGGGGGGGGGGGGAGGGGAAGTCCGTTCGTTTGACTCTCCCTCCACTCTGTTCAGGTTAACTAGTGGTCAGGCGACAGGCGGTATCTGGTCAGATCTATTTATCTCCGTCATACTACCAGGGCGACCTTCGGTTATACTTTTTTCACGACTAGTGGTCGGAACTAGAAATCGAACGCGAATGGTCCGGACCATCGTCTGTTCAAAGATGGCTGCCCCCAGGGACATGGTGATGTCATTATACTCTGCTTTAGACCACGAGCATAACCCTGAAAAAACCCTTTAACCCCAAGGAAGGTCTATACATCTCTCCATGGAGGATAATGAATCGCTGTGTTACATAGTTTAATAAACAAATAATACTTTCATGAAGTTAAATTTGCGCGACTCAAATTAATTTTAGAGGTGACAAAATTCCTTGTAACTTGACGTTACTTTTTGCAAAGCAAATATTGAAATAATGCGTAATTTTTAGACTTACATAGATTCAGACATAACATACGAGACAAAAAATATCTGCTCATAGAAGTAGCAACCATTTAAAATTCATTCAAGCTTTCTTGAAATCAGATACTTAACAAAAATAGATTCTTTCTACATATTCTACACTTTCGTTTCATCGACACCGCCATCTTGGAACTACTCCGACAATGCAACAATAGCATGGTTCAGTATTTTCGGGCTATGGTCCGGACTAAATGAAATTCAGATTCAGTTAGTTCGACCATAGTCAAGAAATCACGATAACCGAACGTTGCCCAGGCTGCGTTTCCGGCAGTCAATTTTTCAAAAATTTCTGGGGAAGGCACCCCCCCCACCCATACCCCTAGTTGGAGATCGTGCTCACCCCCCTCCCCTTAACCTTGGACTTTGCCCCAACTGCCCCTTCTACCACCGGCGCCACCAGCCGCCACTGAATGTTGGTGAATGGTTTCTTTGATTTCGCTTCTAATAATATTGTATTATTACATGTTCTAACAATATGAGGGAATATTTCACTGATTTTTTTACCAAGAATTGAGTTCCAAACGTAACTCGTCTTGCTCTTCTTGGGAGTGACAATTTTCAAAAATATTTGATGGCTTTGCAAATTCAAGTACGCTGAAACTTGGCCAACTTGTTCCTTGGACAATTCAGGAATTTTTGCAGGAGGGGGTTTGCCAGGTTCCTGAGACAATGTATCCCCCCCCCCCCCCGCATGGTCTATATCGTTATTTTGTCGTATATACATACACATTGAGTTTTTTAAACAGAGAAATTAAACACCTCGTTTGACGTCAATTTTTATTATGAATTAATACAATGGGTCAATTCAAGTCCCGGGTTACGCCTGTGTTAAGGTTGTGTTCTAGTGGTGTATAACTGGTGTTCTTTTTAGTGCCTTAACCTGAGCCTCTCGATTTAGCACCAGTGTTTACACCAGTGTCTAAACTAGTTTAATGCCAGTGTTAATACTGGTGGGGAAAAAAAATATAAAACTATAGTGTTATTTTTAAATGTTACACTTTGTTTTTGTGTTCTGTTCAAAGCATTCAACTCTTTGCATGAGCTGGCCAACTAAAAAAACCCACCAAAAAGAAAGGTAATTGGGGGGAAACTAACCGCTTCTAGCTAGGACCTATTTTGAATTTTTGTAGTCTCATTTGATTATTATTCAATCGAAATTTCCTGAAATTTCTCGTAAATTAGCAGCTCTGCGATCAACATATTCTTTGTCTTACGTTTTGGCTGTATATGGATAAAAAAAAATCATTTTAAGCCTTAAATCTAAGAACCGTAAAAGAAATTCCCTTCTTGCCTCCTGCTCTTTTACACCAGTGTTGTAATAAACGACTTGAACTGAGATTTTTTTAACACCAGTGCTACACTGATCTAACTGGTGTTAGACACTACACCACCTTAACCCAGGACTTGGATTGACCCAATGACATTGTGATTCAATTTCATGGATGCAAAACATTAATTGTGATATCACATAATGTCTATATCATTATCTCGTGCTCTGAGTGCCCATCCTGTCCCACATCTGGCAATAAAGGATAAAGCACACAACCGAGAAACTTTTCTCATAAAAAGTGTTGATTTACAAAAACATTTATGTAGCTGAGCAGGGGAAGGTTGGGTCGACCCCCCAAAACCCCCCTCTGGATCCGCCCCTGCAATTGTGCATTGATTGATGTATCTCGATTTTTTATGTCACAATCCCAATTGGTTGAGATGACATTATACTTGGTGTACTTAAAATTGCTCTGGATGAAATTAAATTAACAAAAAATCCACACAAAAATAAAGCCATAGGTTACTAATTTTTCTCTATTATCTCAATTTATTTTTATTATTTCCATTTCAACAAGTGAATACCAGCACATCCTTGAGATCATTATAAAAAAAATGGAATTATGGTCACCACGCCGAACATACATGTACAACACAGATCTCTATAAACTACATTTAAAAATTAAACTGGCAGCCTACATTAAAGATGCATTATGTAAGAGCTAAATTTGCCTATTACAGATCTTTTTTCTGGCTTCAAAAGTTATATACGCGGATGTATAACTTTGCACAGAATAAAGAAATTTGACCGAAATTTTCAATATATTAATTTTTCATTTTCAAGCTGTTTTAAAGAAAGAACGGCCAGCTCCTTATCTAATTCTTTCATAATGCACCTTTAAAAAAAAATCTAATTTTATACGAAACTAAATCATCACAAATGAACATGACCAAAATACAATTCTAGCCATGATATGCAGTTTTCTTTAGGGATCCAAACTGTATTATAAATCACATATTCTAAAAATCCTGTAAAATATCCTATTATTATATCACTTGTATGATGTCGTCCTAGCAACAGTCTGGAGATACTGACCACAACCGACCAAGTTATCACCCCAAATATACTACTCCACTGAGTTAAATATTTATTACTGAAGAAGAAAGCCAACATGGCTGCCCGTGTGGCATGACCAGATGGGAATGAATACGTATCCACAGAAATAGTAGCAAACATGTCCATTTGGTTTGCAGGGGGGCGTGGTCGTCGGAACAACATTTTCAGAGATGCCACTACAATAATGTCAAATATCAAAGCTGCAAAAAAAAAAAAAAAAGAGAAAATTGTTAATAATTGGACATAAACATATTTTGATTTTTTTTTTCTGTGATTATTTCAATTTAATCTGGTTATCCACAATGTCAAATCAATTTTTAAAATTTAAATAAATTAAGTTGATGCCAATACCTAACATATTGAACTAATTTTGTTACAGAAATGAGACAGATAGAGAAATCTACAAATGTAGCTTTAATGTCCATGGGACACTAACGAAATAATTTCGGGACTAACATTTTACTTCAATAATTCGCTTGTGCATAGGTGTCTCTTTAGCTGTTGGAGGAAATTGGCAGACATAGAGAAAACCCACAAGGTTGAACAGACTAACTCCATGACACGTACAAGCGGGGAATCGAAACCACGCCACTTGACTCAATGACAATGACAGACCTTATGATCTAAACTAGCGCTCAAATCAGATCATCCAACCAACCTCCACCCCCCTATTTGGCCATTCAACCACAGTCATGGAACATAACATGCATTTAGTTTGGTGTCAAATGCTCATCTAGTCAAAAGAAGAGACTTGGTAAACAAAACTTAGGACATTTCAGACTTGGTAAACAAGACTTAGGACATTTCAGACTTGGTAAACAAGACTTAGGACATTTCAGTCATATTTGTCAACTACATGTAACTGCCCATACTAAATTTAGGCTTCAGAATCGATACTAAGCTAGTTGACAGACATTTTAAAACTTAAATTTTGCTCGAAAACACTAAATACTGTATCCTTTGCGTATTTTGAGAAGTATTTATTTATTCTGCTTTCATTTAAAGGGCTTATTTAGTCTTTATGTGTATGACAGATGTGAAATGGGGTAGAACCACATTTCAAAAACAGTAAACCTTGCATAAGTCAGATTCGTATAAGTCGGATCTTCGCTGAACTCGGATAAAATCATTTGGACCCTTTGATCCTGCACGTTTTTCTTATTAAATTTATGCGCGTAAGTCGAATTTCCTAAGTCAGATCTTTGCTTAACTCAGATCAAAATGTTCGGTCCATCTGATCTAATTCCATCTTTTTTCCTTCGCCTACATGTAAGTCAGATCGGCAGTATGTTCACAACATGCTGTTAAAAATGCGGCCGGCTGACACCATTGAAATCCAAATACAGGACAGCGCACAAATTTACGCAACTCGACCATATAAGACGAAACGAAATTGGAATTTTTGAAAAAATTTGATTGTAATTATTGGGCTAGGCAAAGCAATAATTGACTGAAGTTTCTCAGCTTTTCAACGATTCTAATTTTTCTCCACCCCAGCTTACCTAAATTTCGTTTCATCTTATATATGGCCAAGCCACGTAAATCCGTACCCCACTCCACAGCCACATCTAGACCTCAATGTTTAGCAGAAGGGGACGGATTTTTAACAGCATGTTGTGTTGCACATACTAACTCTAGCGAGATAAGCAAGGTCTTATTTTCTCACTAAAATGTTCCTTTACATTGTTCAGGCGATCACAGAGACTGACACTCGACCGTTTAGCAGTAAAAAGTTGCCCAGTACAATTGACTGGGAACCGATTTTATTTTGACACAGATTCAATAGAACGGTTCCTGAACGTACAGGGCAATAATATGACCTATGTTCAGAGCTGAACTAGGCCTTCAGCTAACTCGGATCTTTGCGTAACTCGACTTATGCGAAGTTTACTGTGGTATTAATTATTAGATACATGTATGGTGGCCATTCAGGGCAGAGATAGCTTCTCAAAGTAGAATGCTACATGTAACTGCCATAAAATTAAATGTCAAAGAATTTAACCTCAAACACAATAAATACAGTTAGATTTATAATTTTTAAGTGTGAAAACAATTAAAATTATGTTAAAAATTGAGATAATGCTAAAAATTTTCAGGATTTTTTAAAAGAAATATCTTGCTAATCCGTGGTAAAAAAAAAATTTATTATGTAAAAATTTACCAGCTGGCAAAATGTTTACATTTAAGAGAAAGTCTGGCTTTGAATCAATAACATTCTAGGATAATAGTTCTGATCATCACCTAATTAATATCTTCACATCTACATGTATTGTAGGTGTATGTAATTGTAATGGATCATTTAATATGGTATATTCAATTTGGCAACAGCAGTTTTTATTATTAGTGTGTGAAGCTTATCAAAATTCAATAGTGATTTGTATTTAGTGTGACCACATGATGTATTTGTTGCAACTAATACTCAAGCCCAATCGGAAATCAGGCCTGTAGTATTTAATAATATTACTTGTATACAAGAAACTGCTAATGAACTAGCATGTGACATTGTGCCAGATATGAATTAATAATATTATGGAGAATAGGACAGGTACACGTAACTGAGAAACTGGGCCTGACAAAGCTTGATTTCCCAGTTAAAAATTACAATTTTATTACTACATACATGTATAAAACATTTAGGATTTATAATCTTCCAGAATGTTGTTCTTTAAGAGTCGTGTGCTATGTGGGAAACTTTGCCCAGACTCCAGAGAGCAATGCATTTCCAGTGTTAAGAGTTCTTTTACATTCATGTACACACCAAGGTGTGTAATGGGTGTCATTCCTTGCTAGACCCTCCACTCTGCACCAATGAAAGGCGAAACCATGCTGGGAAATTTCTGGTTAGTGAGATAGCATCTTACATATTGTATGCACTGAGCCACAGGCCAGCTCTAATTTTTTGTTATAAACTATAGACTACAGTCTTTTCACATAAAAAAAAAACATGTCAAAAAAAAAAAGGTATCGGTTAACCTGTGACATAACATTGAGTCGCTTCTCTCTCTTAAAATACCAATGACAATAATAGTACATATTATCTGTATTATTGTCATTGTATTACATAACACAACTAAAACCTACCAAAAAATAGGTTCACCAAAAGTTCAACATCTTGCTCTCTGTGAACACAAAGAAAGAATACAACATTTGCAACCAGCCAAGGAATACCATGACAACTTATTTCCAATAATTTCATCAACGGTCTCAGGCCTCCTAATTTCGATTCTTTAGCTGCACAGACACCCCATGCCTTTGTGTATTCCACATCTAGTTTATGGAGATACTGCCACAGCCCGTCTTCGCCTACGATGGCTTCATTTCTACTTTTACCAGTTGACCTTTTTTCACTTGAAGAGGTATTTTCTTCAGTCGTACCAGCCTCTTTTGTTCGCAGTCTTGTGGTATCGGATGCCATTGTTAGTTTGATCAAACCTAACCAAAGCTAGTCACAATTTTCCTCCCTAAATATGAATAGAGTTTTCTTCCCACAATCAGCTGAGTCCGGAGTCTATTTATTTACAACGAGACAAGCGGAAATGTATCGCAAAGGATTGTGGGTACGTATAACCTCGAAACTAAAACCGGATGAAGGAAACTTTTATGGAAATTGAAATTACTTTCCCCGATAATGTATAATATCGAGATACTGAACAAGCAATCAGTTAACGACTGATTAAAATACGTTCTCTGTTGCAGCATGTTTCATATGTAATAAATGTGTCGCCGTGACTTAAAACTATAAACATACCCACTGGAGAGTATTTTACGTTGTCAACAAAAGCGTTCATGGCAACAGCAGACGACGCAAAATCAGCTGTTGAAAAGATTTTTTATGTAGTGAAAATGACAATGGTGTACAAGGAAATAATTTATTGAATTGATCTAATTTTTTTAAATGAAGTAGATCTATATTTTTGAAGAAAACTAAGCTGATAAAATTATCAGCATTCACCAAATTTGCAAAACGGCTTGTTGGGTGGCAAATGGATGTGGCTGTGGGTAAGATGGGACTCGCGTCGAGCAGGAATACAACGGTTGTAAAAGCTTCGTCACCAAAGGGTATGAATGGGAAGATAAAAATACTAAATTTAGAGGCCAAAATTGATAATGAACCAACACATGTTGATGAAAGTTCGTCTGCAGTTCTGAAATATAGAACACCAAATTTCAGGTTTGTAGCCGTCGTGGGCCCGTGGGGTAGGCTATCGAAATCGAGTCGACGTAGGCCTAATTTCAATTTCAAAATCAAACAGGTCAGACTAGAATTTAGAAAGTCATACCGTAATCCTAGTTAATCCGTCAAGAATAACCCTATAAAATGGTACTTAATAGGCCTAGACCCCCTTTGATTTGGTTCAAATATAAAACTAAAACTGTCCATCTAATTCTGACATTTCAAATTTTTTTTCTTATGGGGTGGGTCTATTATTATTAAGTCTAGGCTACCCTCTTCCTTGAAAATGTTATGTCTAGGCCTACACGTGAACATAATAATACCAGAGTTGAAATATTATTGTGTTATGGTCCATTGTTCACACAGTAAGTTAGGCCTAAGCGAAAAATGAAAGCAATATTTTTTTTTTATTTGTATACGCTTCTTAGAGAGCTTGCTCAGTCATTAATCGATATAACATCAGAACAGCTTAGTTTGATACTTTTGTTTAACCTGAGTCAACCAGGTAAGCTTATCATGACTCATAATCATGGTGTTTACTGATGTCTAGAACTATGTAGAAAACCATACCCAGTGAAGATTTGTCCTACCCAGTAGGCCTAAATATTAAAAATGCATGCTTTTCAATATAGACCAATCATAATCAAGAAAATTGAAATGTGTTCATTTTTTTTTTTTTTTTTGGATCATTATCAATCATAATTTGTGTGGTAGCTAAGCTATATTCTTTTATTAAGGTACCGTCAATGTAATATTTATTTTTTTAAACATATTTTTCAAGGGCTACTGCAACGGTAGAAATATCACCTCTGCAAGATGCGGAGATGTGGAAAGTTGGTTGGATCCAAGCTTGTACAGATATGACTTTCCATAATACTTATGGAGATGAAGGCTTGTAAGTGACCCTGGTACTGAAATTAAAATATCTTCTATGTTAAATATTCCACACTAAAAAGTTTTCTTTTTAAACTGAGAAGACTGTGTTATTTCTTATGAAAATGCAAAACTGAATTATAGGCTGAAACTTTCCAAACTGAATACAAATCTTGTGACAAATAAAACCATGCAAGCATTCTATTCTTTCATTCAGTTGATTTGCAGAGTAAATGGCTGTGACCGGGGCAAAATGATTAACAGCGAGTTAATTATCTCTCGATATTATTAACTTTTTTCTTAAATTCTAAAACAATTTTTTTAAATTATTAAGAAAAAAAAATAATGCAGTTATAAGTACACTAAGTACTCCTTGTCATGAACAACCGGTGATTCAAAATCACGCCAGTTAACTCAATGAGTGTAAATAGGTACATAATGTAATTACGTTAAGTCATAAAATGAGTAAAATGCAGCAATTCTGCCCAGACCAATTTGTGTTACCATGTCCCAAAAAAGCAATGTTATCGATGCCATATGATGTGACGCCACACTTAGAGGTCAGGCATCTTGTATAGTTAAAAATATGGCTATCGCATTACTGTGAAGCAGATTGACACAAGGGCAAACGTGAAAAGGTTCAGATGAAAAAACTGCTTAGGCAGTTTGTCTAGCCTTTGTATATAATCATTATGTTCTAAAATTTAAAGGACAATATTAGTGTCAGTCGTTATCACATAAGTGGCAGAACTAGATAAACTCGTTCGAAATAGAATTTTAACACAAAGATCATTGCTACGATAGATGTGTTATGAAGATTTTAAGAAACAAATTGATGAAAAGCAAAAGTAAAATACATGTTATCCTTCTATATAACTGACTGAAGTGACGAGTGATAACATATGCTCATTCATAATTCCGTCGAAATAATTAAACGTCACTAGATATGTGGAGTCATATTTATATTGTTCTTGTTTTCTCTTATCAAGTGACATTCAATTACTTTTTTGAATTGTCAGATATCCTCCCTCACAGTCTCACATAACAACTTTTGGTCTTTGAAGGAATTATTTTCAAATTTGTTTGGCTTTCTATTTTGCAATATAACATTTATGTAAAGTCTTTGGAATTTAAATACCACTTCCTACTCCTACTTTTCAACATTTTCCGGCGTGGTTCCCCCTTGTCAGTGATGCAGGACGGAGGGCCTGACAAGGACAGCTGTCTAGTCATTCGGATGAGACGAAAAACCGAGGTCCAGTGTACACATTGGCGTGCACGTAAAAGATCCTTTGACAGTTGGAATTCGATATAAGAGTAGGCCGTAGTGCCGCTGTCCGGGCAAAATTACCCTCATAGCACACTGTATGGCGTATGCCCGTCTTCATTAGCCCAGTTCGGAGCAAAACAGTAGGACGTTAAACCCCATTTCATTTCATTTCATTTTACTTTTCAACAAATCTTGTGCTATCAACTTCATTATTTAGCTTATAACAGCTTATGTTTTTTTAAAACAAATTTCTTTTCAGTACAAGTTGGGAGTTTCCAGAATTAACAAGTGGCAAACAAATTATGATTAGTGATTGCGATGGCCGACATTACCCATGGTACGGATCCCGGAACGAAACGGTTATCTTTCAAGGAACATCCGATGTAGCACAGTCAGCAACTATAACCATGAATGACAATTTCCATCCACATGTTACATGGAGAAATCCAGCAAATCGCAATCAAGCCAATCCAAATTTAACGCACATTATTAGAGATCAGAGTTTCTATGTGTGGCTCGTCGCGTGGAATATGACAACAATGAAGTCATTTATTCTTCAAACATTACAATGGCGAATGCAATTAGAAATTGATGTTGACCCCATGAAACCATTAGGACAACGTGCTCAATTGGTTAGTGATCCTAAGCCAAGGCAACCAGTGCTATTAGAAAAGAACATAGCTATTCCCCGTTGTGCGTTAGTTCCACCAAATGCTAACAGTGCTCAGATGTTAGTTTGGAGAGCTAAGAAGGGCAAGGCTCTGTGTATTATACCTCCAGTGTGGTCTTCTTCGGAAGAAGTGCATAAATCCAAGAAAGTGGATAGTAAATTATAGAAATAAAACTGTGATTAAATCACTGCAACAGAAAAACTCACTCGTAAAACATTTTTTTATCAAAATCGGTGCAATTAATGCTACATAATGCTACACGTTCTAAGTCAAGCAACTCAGGTCTCATTTAGAAAGGACTTGAAGGTAATGATTGTGATGTTAATCAGAAAGATTTAAAAGATAAATCTTGTTCTTATGTTGCTAATCTTAATAGGGTACTTAAAATTTGGATAAAATAAGTACAAAGGAGTAAAATGCCCCAAAAATATACTTTTTAGTCAATTGATTTTTTTTTAAAGGTAATTTAATAGGTTATTTGGGGAGTTCCCCATATGGGTGTTCAACTTTTAGCTGCTATATTTTGAAAATTTAAACTCTCTGACTAGTCCTTTCAAATTATGGTTGGACAATTACATGCATTGACAAAACAGAATGAATAAGCTTTTCCAAATCACCATGCCTTTTAAAGTGCATGCATATAAGTTAAAAAGTTCCAGTTTCAGAATATTCAACTCTAGTTAGTATTCTCAAGTAGCAAGAAGAACAATCCATTGGATTCTGATGGTTGGAAGATGTCATAAAATGGTCAGAAAAGACGTTTTTTTTAGTGTCTTTTTACCTTTAATATATAAACCCAAGCAATAATTTTTTGGGAGGCCAATTGTTCGAATTGGCCTCTTTACCATCATAAAAATAATACATCTTGTACTTCTGATTTCACATCTTGTAAACTTAATATTGTTTTTTAAAAAAAGTATATAATGAAATTTTTCCTTTAATGTCTTTCATAAAACTACATATTTAATAACTATAATCCTTTATATATTTATCTTTTATCAAATGAGGATCTGGCATGATGTGGCTTTAATATTTACAAGTTATTGATATTTTTACAATGAGCCATCCACGACATTTTGTCTTTCATAACACTACCAATTTAATAGCCACGATCTTTTCTATATTTTTTTACCAGATGTTTATTTTTATAGCGATACATGATGTACAGGGATTATACTTTATATTTTATATACCCATCTTTGTAAATAAATAAATAATTTATTCATCATTATGCCAATAAAGAATCAAATGATGCCGTGATGGCAGAAATCCTTGTGTTGAGTTTTGTCTGAAGATAGTCAGAAGAGACAAATAATCAGATATGGAATGTTTAGAGAGCATATCGTCCGTGAAGTGTCAAAAGGGTGTATCTAAGAATTTCTAAAGATTAAGAAATAGAACCTTTTGCATTTCAAAATTTCCACAAATCAAGATACAACATTTGGACACATGATACCCAGAACAGTTCTAATTGGTGTAGAGATACACAGCTTAGACAGAAATGTGCATATTAACTGGGAGATTTTAAAAATGCAAAAAAAGTTTATTTGACTAATTTCCCGAGATACACCCTTTTGACACTTCACCGACGATGTTAGGTATAATGGAAGGTAAAAACCAACCAGACAATCTAAGTAAGTTTTTAAAAATAGAATATCTAACGATTCTGAAACTCTACAGAATTCTAAAGGTGGCCATGGCAAGGAAAATAACTTAAAATTCAACGGGTTACATTATTCAGATAAGCTGAACAATCCCAGCAAGTTTTAAAAAAAACAGATTTAAAAAACGAGATTGATGTCTACCGCCCCAATCCCAAAATAAGAAGAAAATGGCAAAATGCTCATCATCGAACTTCATCAAAGAATTCGACTAATAAACACCTACACCCCAAGTTTGAAATTTCTAGCTCAATTAGAAGCAGAACTATTGTGTCTCAAAAAGTATTATTGACAGATTAACCCATATTAATAGTCTCTCATGCTTTCTTAAAAATTCAGTCAAACTGTAGAGATTTAACAAATATTGACTGAAGTGAGCCAATTGACAGACGGATAGGGCCTGGGTGATAACAATATACTTCCACCAATATCAACCGTGTGGTCCTGCATCTCAAACAGTAAATTTAACCATGGAGATGGGAGCTGCAAATATCCACTTTAATCCACCATTCCTTCTTTCTGCTGGACATGCTTCTCTATCTCATACTGTTTACAACTCGCAAGTTTCTTAGAAAACAATGTCTGTGCTTCGGAAACATTTGTCTCGAGACACCGCGATAACCACTTCGGTGAAAGTGGACACGGTTCACTCAATACAAACTAGATCATTTTGGGACTAACATATTTCAATAATTCATTAAACAGTGGGAGGACCCGGAGAAAACCCATGATGTTGGACAGGGGACCCACGTACAAGCGGGGAATCGGAATGCATTAAACCACTAGACCACCAAACTCCCCACCCCAACTAATGAACAAACCAACCAACCATATCTCACCCATATTTGAAGAACAGCTTACAAGATGAGTTCATTCACACAGATAAATTAAAACAAATAAATAACTGATTTACATAACATATATTTATAGCCGTTTGTTTTTCATGTCCAAATATGGTACACAGGGGAGATAATCAATAATATGTTTTATCCTCATCTGTAACTAGAGAAAGATGGTGCATTCCTGAAAAAAAAAAATATATATTCACATCTAGGTTGATCAGTATTTGTACTCGAGTTTAATTCTTGAAAGCTAATTTTGTACTTTATGCATGCTTAAAGCTTAATCCATGCTAAGAAAACAAAATCAAAATGTCAATAGCCTATAGGGTTCTGCCTGGTTGATTCGTCAATCCCTTAATTGATCATTAGACAATTTTAAACTAAGGGACAGTAGGGACCCCAAATTTTTTTCGATGATTCTTTATGAATTTGAACAATTTTCAAACACTGGTTTGAAACTAAACATTAAAATTTAAATACAATAACTCTCGCTAAAGCAGAACACCAACGCGATAGTCGAGTTTAAGAATGTCAGAATACATTTTTAATATAGCCCAAGTAGTCTCCTGAGATATAGATTACAAGATTTCATAGGTGAAAAAAATTACTGAAACTCAATGAGTCTTTGTCCTTTCAACAATCTGATTAAAACAAAGATCCTATTTCGTTTCGTTTTTTATGGTTCAAAATTTTGTTTTTATTTGACTGTACTACACAAGGATCTGGAAGAGTAGTTGTATAACCTTCGTTCTGGTTGATATGAGGGATTAGCCAATGACACCTGTCTCTTACGGCAAGTTATATAACCTACATTCAGGATGGCGAAAGGAATAAGCCAATAAAACCATCTGTTACGGCGACTTCTTGGCGTGTGATACATGGAACTGTGGGTAAACCACTAGAAATGTCAACGCTGATTGATTAATCAAAGTCTGATGTCATAGGGTCAAAGCTGCTCGTACGACCCCTGTAGTTTTGACAAGATGCATGCAAAGTTGTAACCAGGGCACTGGTATATTCCAGACTTAGCCTCGCTTTCCCTTTTTTAAATCAAATTTTTAAAGGGCAACCGTTATAATCTAGTTAAAATCTTGAGTATCCAATGCCATTGATTGTTGATTATGGTCTGGATAAGTTAATAAATGTCTAATTAATAACTTAGATAACATTTAAAGCCTAAAGAAAGACCTGCAATATGCAGATTTTTTAGCTCTTGCATAATGTATGTTTAAGATGAGCAAATAATTATGTCAAGTTCAAAATGATTTATGGATTACTATAGACACCAGTGTGCTAGCTAACAAGAAATGTGAATGAGAGACAATTGGGTGAAGACCATACATATGACCAAATATAAATGTGGGGTTTTAATAAAAAAAATTAAAACTAAAACTACTTACCCAAATGCTCCTTGGTTAGAAGAACCAAAAGCTGGAAAAGACGATTATTATTTTATAACAGAACTAACACAGTTATAGCCTCCATTATCATTACTAAAGTCGGTACGATAAAAAACATAGTTTCAATTATCCATTTCATGATCTAATCATGAATGAAAGTTGAGCAGCAAATCAGATCCTAATCCAGTAAATATAGCAGGCTAGCAATGACATCAAGAGTTGATTATGGTCTGGATAGGTTAATTAATGTCTAATTCATAATTTATACAACTTTTCAGGCCTAAAGAAAGACCCGTAAAGGGCGGATTTAGCTCTTGCATAATGTATGTTTAATTGACTTTAGATATAATCTATTTTTTTGGGGTATTCAGAACCCAATACGCTACATAACACAACAAATATTTTTAGTTGCAGACTATTAAAGGGAATGGAAGCTTACTGACCCTATTTCCTGAACCTGGCCTCGATCAACCCCAACTAAAAATGTCAAACTAGCCAAATTTTGAAATAGCATCCCGGGTTTAATGTTATTTTTAAAGGGATTTTTCTTGTTAGAGGCACCTGTGGCTCAGGCCTTATAAATTATCACAATATCGCCAGTCTGCTACTGTGTTAACCAGTATAAAATTGTACTACATACCAGGTGGAGGCTGTTGTTGCTGCTGCTGACCACCACCACCACCACCACCAAATGATAAACTTCCAAATCCACCTCCAGGTTGTTGTTGACTCATACTACCAAATGTCGGCAGGTCTGTTGTCTGCGCAATACTACCAAATGTAGGACTGCTTGCTGAACTAAATCTATTCATAGAAATAATAAAAACATGGGTTGTTCTACATTCTGTAACCTAGTTATCCTATTAACTAATATGAATTTATGAAAGTATGATCAGTTCTATCGACATTCATCAGTAAATTTGGATGGCTTCCAGTAATACTAGCAGTATACTATCATCTAACTCAGTGGTTCTCAACCTTTTATTGCCAACGGCACACCTTGTAACACATGAAAAAATAGCGGCACACATGGCTTAATATATATGAAAAATATTTGAATTTTGCACATAAGTCAGGTGGCATACAACCATAGACAGTGACTAGTCATAGACACATAGAATGACTCAAACTAAATAAAGAAAAACCAACTATGAACTATCTGTAGACACCAGTAAATACTCAACTGGGATCACATGGTTTTTCTTATTTTCTTGAGAATCACTGATCTAACTATTACTCTGTGTGTTTCGTACTACACTGCCTTATATCCTTGATGTAAGACAAATCTGATCTAACTATTACTCTGTGTGTTTCGTACTACACTGCCTTATATCCTTGATGCAAGACAAATCTATGGATGACACTCCAGAAAAACTGAAGAATTATCAGTTCCACAACGTCAAACACCACAAAAAAATACAGTACCGAATATATAGAAAATCTAATTCTGATCTATCAACCCGGTTTGGGGTTGAAGAAATCAACATTGAAAGTCTGCCTAAAGAAACAAACACTCACCCAGAAAAACTACTTGCACCACCAATTGTAGAACCGAATGGTGGAGCAGGAGAGCCAAAAGTTCCACCCGTAGTTGATGAACCTGGTGAACCAAATACGGGAGCAGAACCAAAAGCAGGTTTTGCACCAAATCCTGGAGAACCTCCAAACGTTGAAGCTCCACCAAATGATGGAGTACCACCAAATCCTCCAGCTATATGAAAGAGAAAAAAGGTCAGGGTTCTTGATTATAAAACCAATTTTATTTTCAAAGTTAGCAAACTAGATTTGGTTGCATGTTTGATCATCAAATTAACATCTTACTTTTCTGATTCATCCAAGCTGAGAGGAATCTTGTTAGGACAGTGTCACTATTCATCCAGACTGAGAGGAATTTTGCTAGGATAGCGTAACTACATGTATAGCCTACTCTTATTTCAAATTCCAACTGTTCACAGTTCTTTTACACACAAGAACTTGGTTTTGCATTCTATCCGAACGCTGTTCCTTGCCCAGCCTATGTCCTACACCACTAACCAGAACAAACCATGCCGAAAATCCAGAGGAACTTTCTTTGTATTCTTGAATGAAACACTTTATAAGAAAGATTGGGGAAGTGGGTGGGGAGGGGGCAACTGGGTGGGATGGGGGTTTGTGAAGAGTTTGTAGCCACATTTTTTGTTCCATAAAATAGAGTTGTCAGGTATTATTTTGGTCATAGCTCTTATGTAGGAGTAGTGTAAAAAATCCAAACCATAAAGACCAAACAAAATAAAGAGAGAGAGAGAGAGAGAGAGAGAGAGAGAGAGAGAGAGAGATTAATGTCCACTGGACACAAACAAACTAGGTCATTTCAGGACTAACACATGGTTCTATTTTATTTCACTAATTCACTTGCACTTAGGAGGACCTGGAGAAAACCCACGAAGTTAGACAGGTGACCCTACTTCTTGTCACATACAACCAGGGAATTGAAACCACATCAGTTGACCCAAACAAAATAAAGATTCGTTGGTGCTATAATGTCTGGTAAATGCAGAAGTAAGTTATTCACCGTACCTGAAGGTGTTGTAGGTGAAGCGGCACCAAATCCTGTAGAAGCAACACCACCTGTTGGCTGACTAAAACTACCACCGGTGGTATTGCTACCAAATCCACCAGTCGAACTGCCAAAACCTGTCGTATTCGTCTGATTCCCAAATAAATTTCCTGAAAAAATATGCAATTTTTTTTAATTAAATGACTAAACCGAGATTTATTGGTGACCAAATAAAATAAACATTATTAAACCGCTGTAATCTATATTTCTAATGATCAGGAAAACTTAAGATTTACAGAGAGTTAATTATTACACACTGTCAACTAGTGGCACTGACAGCCATTTGCCAATCTGATTAAAATACAGATCTATATTTCGTTTCATTTTTTTATACTTTTGATGGCCTACACTACATGAAGATCTGACCGGTGGTAGCGATAGGTCTTGTCAGAGGTCATACGAGCGGCTTTTGACCCTATGATGTTAGACATTTGATTAACCAATCAGCATTGATGTTACTAGTGGATTACCCACAGTTCCGTGCAAAACACGCCTGAAGCTCGTCGTAACAGACCGTTTCATTGGCTAATCCCTCACACCATTCAGAACATGTCAATGATAACAACTCTTCCAGATCCTAGTGTAGTAAAGACAAGTAAACGGAATTTTGAACTATAAAAACGAAATGAAATAGGAACTGTGTTTTAATCAGATTAGCCATTTGCATACCAGTGTGTGCTGTTGTCACAAGTTAAACAATTCATAATGTGATGTTGATATTCATTAAAATAAGTTCTTCCTACCAGTTTGTTGATTATTGGTACCAAATGACTGAGTTGCCCCAAACACGTTGGTGCTGGCTTTTTCTGCACTTGGTTGGCCTCCCAATCCACTAAATAACCCTCCTCCTCCACCACCACTACCTCCAAATCCCCCTACACCACTACTAGGTTGTGATGTTGTCTGACCAAATGTTGGTGCAGGAGCAGCACTGTTTAAAATGCACAAACAAAAATATGTTGAATATGGCAAGGCTATGATTTTTAGTGATATTTTGAACAAAAGAGAGAGAGAGAGAGATGGGGTAATGTCCACTCGACACAAACTAGGTCATTTTGGGACTAACATATGGTTTAATTTTATTTCAATAATTCGCTTGCGTGTAGGGGTCTTTAGCAGTGGGAGGAAACCGGAGGACCCGGAGAAAACCCACGAGGTTGGACAGGCGACCCTACTCCTTGTCACGTACAACCGAGGATTCGAAACCACGCCAGTTGACTCAATGACAGACTTTATGATACAGCGTGCACACGCTAACCATTCAGCCATCCAACCCCCCTATGTTGAATATGACAAGGCTATGATTTTTAGTGATATTTTGAACAAAAGAACATAATGGGGTTTCAAACCTAGTGCACAACCTGCTGTACGTACTACTCAGGGGAAATTTTAGTAAAACCGTGAGACTTACATGTACGCATCACTTGCAGACATTTGCTGAAAATTCAATAGGCTTCTTTGTTTCACTAATTTAAAGGATGCACATAAACTTCATACAGATCGGATGATAATTTCTGTCGTTAGAGCATTCACAAGGTGCAATAAAGTGAAACAAAGGCCATAACTCCAGAAGAAATTAATGGAAATTATTGAATTAAGTAAGCTTCTTCATCTCACTAATGTAAACAGCATATATCAATTTCAAAACTATCAGATGATAAATGTAGTCTGTAACAACATTTCTTAGTACTAATCCACAATTTCATCACAAAAGATGCAGCGCTGGTTCGATCTTTAATTTTATCCAATTTCATTCAAATTACTTCATTTTGAGCCAAGTTATCACTGGGCGCTGGTATATTCGAGACTTATCTACGCTTTCCAATTTTTAAATTACATTTTTAAATGCTGAACCATTCTAATCTACTTAAAACTCAAGTATTTGATGCCATCGAGAGTTGATTATGGTCTTGTTTTGTTAATAAATGTCTAATTGATAGTTTATATAACATTTCAGGCCTAAAGAAAGACCTGCAATAGGCAGATTTAGCTCTTGCCTGTTTAATTCAAGAAATATTTCATATATATATATGAGGACATCAGATGGCAGGTAACCTAAAACAACTGTGCAAAAGTAGAGCAATCACCTCATTTTTTATCTTACCTTTCTGGTGCTTGACCAAATGCCGTTTTCTGTCCAAACACACTGGCTTGTCCAAATCTAAAATGTCAAATTTTGTCATACTATTGTTTATTACTCTTCTTCATTATTTTTCGAAATATAATGGCAATTCTAAAAATGTCTGTGCAATACTTGTGACAAAGTGCTCCATAACTTGTATCATATTTGCATTGTTTGGATAATTTTAAAAATTTCATCACTTATCCACATTTATATTATACTAATTATATAACTACTAAAGTCAGTAGGATAAACAGCATAGTCTCGATTATCCATTTAATCGTTTAATCGAGAAGGAAAGTTATGCAGTAAATCGGCTCACAATCCACTTAAGATCTCAGGCAAGCGATGCCATCTAGAGTTGATTATGGTCTGGATAGGTTAATTAATAATTTAGATAATATTTCAGGCCTAAAGAAAGACCTGCAATGGACAGATTTAGCTCTTGCATAATGTATGTTTAAAAAAACACAAAAAAGCAAAATATCAACGTTAGATAATCCCCAAGCTTGGATTCAATCGGATTAAAAACAGGCCCATCAATTAGATTTCACAATACAAAAAGATGGCGATGTATCATAAATGAAATGAAAGGAAATGGGGTTTAACGTCCAATTATTCTACTCCGACTGGGCTAATGAATATGGGATATGTCATACAGTGTGCTATGAGGGAAATTTGCCCGAACAGCGGCACTATGGCCTACTCTTCTATCGAATTCCAACTGCCAAGGGATCTTTTACAAGCATGCCAATGTATACACAGAACCTCAGGTTTTCGTTCCATCTGTCCTTGTCAGGCCCTCCATCCTGCACCACTGACAAGGGGAAACCAAGTCGGAAAATCCTGATGAACTTTCTCGGCCAACAATGGAAGCAAACCCGCGACCTCCAGGCTAGCAAGCCAGCTTCTTACTCATTTAGCTGCCGTGGCTCCACTGGCAACGTGTCATTTTTATAGGGAGCAATATAGATCATTGGAATTTTAGTTCATTTTTTATTTGTAAATACTGAACCTTATTGAAGCATTTTTGGACTGAAATTTCCTATTTTAGATTCACCTTTTACAATACTGTAGTTTGCAAGGGTTTCCTATATCGCTCAAATTACGGTCACAGATTTTAAGTAACTCACCCAGCCCCGTTAGTAGTTGATGAAACAAAACCAGTGCTTCCAAATACAGAAGGTGTGGCTGTAGATTCTGGCTTGCTTCCAAATATTGATGTTGCTGCAGCTGTTGATCCAAATGAATGCGGTTGCCCAAATCCAGAGCTATTACTTGTAGTAGTTGCACTAAATCCTGTAACAGTTGATGAAACTGAAGGAACAGTGCTTCCAAAAACTGATTGTCCTAAGCCAGTTGCTTGGCCAAAAGATGGTGCACCACCAAATACTGAACTTGTAGTGGATGTACTTGATGAAACTGAAACAGCGGTGCTTCCAAAAACTGATTGTCCTAATCCAGGTGCTGAGCCGAAGCTGGCAGCTCCACCAAATATTGAATTTGTAGATGTTGGAGTTGAAAGACTTCCAAAGCTTGATGTTGCTGCTGTTGTTGAGCTTAAAGCTGATGTTGAACCAAATAAACTTGTGGTCGTCGTTGTCCCAAAACTTGGCTTTTCAAACAATCCAGATGGGACGGTCTCAGGGTTAGATATCGCAGGGGTAGATGGTACAGTTGTTGACGTTTCTGGAACAGGGGTGGATGGTACAGTTGTTAACGTTTCTGGAACAGAATTGTCAGTTTTTGTTGCTTCACCAGATTTTTCAGTGGTTGTTGATACTTTGTCTTCAGCAGGTGTACTAGAACCAAATTCTAATTTAGGTGCAATCAAAGATGCACTGCTAGTTGGTGGTCCTTTGTCAAACAATCCTCCCAATGTTCCAAAAGAAGTTGTTATTGATCCAGTTGACTCAGATGTTATAGCCAAGGCTCCAAAAAACCCACCTGGTGCTGCGGTTGTTGATGAAACTGTTGTTTCTACACCATCGACTGAGCCAGCTTTTGTTGTCACTGCGGGTGTTCCAAAGATACCACCTGCAGTAGTAGCAGATGTCCCAAATAATCCCCCAGGTGTTGTTGTTGTTGCTGTGGATGATGTTACTGAAGAGGGTTTTAAGCTGAATAAACCCACTGTCTTTGCTGAATCAGATTCTCCATTATTCTTACTTTTACTTGCAGGAATTGTTGAACCAATTGATGTACTAAGACTGTTTGTAGTTGTGATGGAACTGTAAGCATTTGAGATAGGTGCTGATGCTGTTAGTATATTAGATGTAAAATGACCAGATGATGGTGGGGTATTCGTGAAACCTACCGAAGAAGATACGCTTGTGTTTTTAGTGGTTGCTATCTTGCTATCAGCAACTGTAGAATCTATTTTTGATTTCTCATTTCCTTCAGTTGGTGAAGGTGACACACCAGATTTTTTTGCTTGTGTTTCAACTGAACCTATTGTAGGATCTTTAAAATGGTGACTACTTTCAGAGGCTGCTGTCTGTTCAGAAGTCGCTGCCTCTTCTGCTGCTTGTTCTGAAGTTAAAAGGGTCAAAAGATTTGGATGACTAGTCACATCAACAGAGTGACCCTTGCCAATTGTTGGTCCTCCTGGTGATGGAGATTTATTTTTGTTTGCAGTAATACCAAATGCTGATAATGACACTGCTGCATCTTCTGCAGCTGCTTGAGAAAAAAGGTTATCTCCAGCAACATTAGCAAATGAGAAACCAGCCCCCATTTGATTAGGTGGAACTTTGGATTTAGCCGAGAAATGAGCAGTGCTTTCATTTCCAAAACTAAAGAGTCCTTTGGATGGCGTGGATTTATCTGCACTGGCCCCAAATGCTGGTGGATTTTGCAATCCAGCAAAACCAAATCCTTTTTTACTTAAATCAAATGGTGCTGATGTTGGTTTTTCCGGAATTTTATTTGGATCACTGGCTGGAAAACCTGGAGCAACTGTAAATGATGGTAAAGGAGAGCCAAATAAATTCTTGCCTACAACATTTGGTTTTCCCTCAAATATCCTTGCTGAACCAGTCGGAGTTGATTTATTGTCTAAAATACAGAATATATAAAATCTATATACACACAGTTTTATTTCAACGTAAAATAATAAATATGTGAAGGAAAAAAGTGATTAAAATCTATGTTACAAAACAAATTACAGGGTTTTATGAAATGAAAAGGGGTTTAAGGTCCTATTGTTCTGCTCCGACTCGGCTAATAAAGATGGGCATACGCTACACAGTGTGCTATGAGGGAAATTTTGCCTGGAGAACGGTGCTACAGCCTACACTTATCAAATTCCAACTGCGAAGGGATCTTTTACATGCATACCAATGTGTACATGGGACCTCGGTTTTCCGTACCACCTGAACAACTAGACAACTGTCCTTGTCAGGCCCTTCGTCATGCATCACAGGGAAACGTACAAGTTTTTAAGGCATTGAAGTTTATTTTCCAAACACCAAATAAATTCCTTTACAGTAATTACACATCAAACACCTGTATGCCCATTTCATTAGCCCAGTTGGTGCAAAAAACGTATTCCTTTCATTCATTAGAATCACATATCAAGTGAATCTGATATGGATTTCGCGATCTTTAACCCATTAAGTGCGTAGGATCGTTATATAACGTCCTGGACAACTGCCACTCGCTGTGTAGGGCGTAATATAACGCCTTGGAGGTATTTTCCCCAACCTATTCTTAGAACATAATACATAGTTTTTCGTCACTTTGTCAAATTAATTACACAGTAGGGGGTAGTTAACATTTTAAAAACGTCACGCTTAACAGGTTAAAATGAAATGAAATGAGGTTTAACATCCTACTTTTCTCTGCCATACATTGTGCTATGATCTAAATCGTGTTTGGACAGCTGTGCTAGGGCTTACTCTTGTTTCAAATTCGGTCAGGACTCTTTAATCCCATCCGAACCATTAGATGCAGTCCTTGTCTGGCCCTAAGGTCTATAAAAGACATCAACACATTGTAAAGAAGCATAAAAGTACAATCTTAAACTGCATTTGTAATTTAAAGCCTTTCCTGGGATCTGTGTAAACTTTAAGTTACGACCTTACCATATACTTCATGTTGCTCAAAACGGTATTCTGAACCGAAACCGGTCTCGTCTTCATCATCATCATCGTCATCATCATCTTCATCGTCATCATCATCATCTTCATCATCATATTCATCATCATATTCTTCGTTAGGAGTTCTACTTGAAGACGGAGGAGTTACATCTTCATATTGTTGATTTAATAAACCTTGTTGGCGAGCGTTACTAACATAAGTGGCCAGATCGCTTGGAGATAGCTGAAATAATTAACAAAATATGATATAGATCTGTTTTAGCACGTCACATACATGGTCAGACACAAATGTTAAATCTGATCTCTCTGATGCATATCATTTTGTGTGTCAAAGATCTGTCTTTCTTTGTTTTTCAGCAAGACTCCTGTGTTTTTGGGACTAACATGGTTTAATTATATTTCAATAATTTGCTGACAAGTTAGGGATCTTTGACAGTGGCGGGAAGTGGAACGTTGGGGTAAAAAAGAAACCACCACTCTCTCTCTCTCTCTCTCTCTCCAATTATGATTTCTACTCACCTGAGAGATTAAGGTTTGACCAACAGCTGGATTAACTGCTTTCATGCTGGTTCCACTAACTAACGAGCCATGGAAACCCCCACTAACTCGAGCATTCTGTACTGAAAACTGAGCTCTGTCTAAACCGAGACCAGCATTACTTCGGGGATGGGAAACAAATGGTTGAACAGGACTTTGCTGTGAAGAAGGATGTGGTCTTTTAAAGAAAGCCTGACCAGTAAAAGATGAAGGGGGTAAATTTGTAGTGTTATTGGTGTTCATTCTGTTCATGGCAGAAACATCTGCAGGACTTGGTTTCCCAAGATCTAAAAATAAAAAGAAATGAAATGAAATGGGGTTTAACGTCCTACTGTTCTGCTCCGACTGGGCTTATGAAGACAGGCATACACCATACAGTGTGCTATGAGGGAAATTTTGCCTTGACAGCCATGCTATGGCCTACTCTTATATCGAATTCAAACAGCCAAGGGATCTTTTACGTGCACGCCAATGTGTACACAGGACACTGAATGACTATACAGCTGTCCCTGTCAGGCCCTCCGTCCTACACCACTGACACGGGGAAACCATGGAGGAAACTCCTAATGAACTTTCTCGGCCAACCTGTGTCCTCCAGGCTAGCGGGCAGGCGTCTTACACACTCAGTGATCAAGACCCTGTTAAAACTTGAACATGAAAACTTTGTTAACTCTTTCATTGCATCTACCTGGTATTACCGGGTATTATAAAATGTTGTTAAAATGCGCATACCCAGTATTACCGGGTACTCAGTATGGCCTCGCTAAAATGAGCACCGTAGCTGCAATTGCCATCTATTGTATTTGCTATACATTAAAACATATTTCCACGTGTTTCAAAGCAGCAAACCGTAAAAAGGTGGAGTGCATAGTGTCAAAAGTAGACGGTGCACTCTCGGTGAAGTTGTGAATGACATCATCGCTGACCAAGACAGTGTGGACAATTTTGAGGCAGGTAATACACATTATTCGTTTCTAGTTAGTTGATAATGATAGTGGTCAGGACAGTGATTGGTAGTATGAAGTGTGTGATTTGTTGCACGACGTTCCGTCTATGGCTATGTCTATGGCTATGATGAACAGGCACAATGTGAACATGATAGCCCTATGTCTGCAGTAGATTCTGACGATAATTCTGATGTTGATAATAATGCTGGCCTGCTAGGTCGTAAAAGACGTAGGCAATTCCTGAGCTCTCAAAGTGTAGATCTATTGACTGACTATAGTGATAATGATATGGGACTTGGGGATGAAAGTGAAAGTGATGGTGAAAACAAGGTATTGCAATCCGCACGTGGTCATAGCAGTGGGAAACGTGGTCTGCATGTTCTTGGTGGCATTGCTCATGGCTGCTATTGATATTTTTATTCATTTTATAAATCTTTATCAAAATCCATGCAAACAAACAATATCCCATAAGTATTTCATGGAGAAAAATTTGTTTTCGTCTTAGCTTTAGTGAGAAATAAGAAATCCCAAATGGCCACCATGATATCACGTGACTACATGATTATGCACATTTCCAAAATTCTATTTTTTCCTCTTAGCCCAACCTCATGCCCATCCCAACACAAAAAGAATTTCCATAAAAGTTTCCATAAGTACTGTTTGGCCTATAGTTCCAAATCCCCTTTTTTCCTCTAAATATGGTCTAGCACAGGCAGTGGATTTACGTCTAGCATTGAAAGGGTTAAGAAATTTAACATCATTTGAGTGATTGGTATTCCCTTGCAAAATACGAATTAAATCAAACGGCACCAACAAGAAATATGGCACAATGGTCCCTAACCACAGAACTTACCTCTACTGTTGTCCAGGGTGTTTTCCACTGATTCCGAATCTTGTAGACTAGTGGCACTAACTATTCTTGACATGGATAGATTGGCTGCAGAAACAACAATTATAAAATTATATCTTAGATAAAGCCTATAATTACATATCCAATGACAAGTGGTTGCCAGGCAAGATATGCCAACAAGCTAAATAGTGATTTTTCGTACAATCGGGGGGGGGGGGGGGGGCATAATCATTCAAGTTATGTTCTGATATGCGCAAATATCAAAATGAACCATGATATAAACATATACTTTAAATTTCATCAAAATCGGATAAAAATTGTGATCTCTAGAGTGTCCACAACCTTCGTATTACATAAGTTTACACTATTTGCATACAATGAGCAGCCATTTTTTCGGATAGCTGTTTGATTTTCATGAAATTCGAAATCGACCGTCGCTATTATTAAATTATATCTTAGATAAAGCCTATAATTATATATCCAATAAGAAGTGGTTGCCACAAAAGATATGCCAACATTTTGCAAGAGATGTACAGAGAACAAGAGCTAAATAGTGAGTTTTCGTACAATCAGGGGAGGGGGGGGGGGAGGGCATAATCATGGAAGTTCATCAAAATCAGATAAAAATTGTGACCTCTAGAAAGTCCACAACCTTGATATTACATACTTTAAACACTATTTGAGTACGAGGGTGTAACAGTGATCAATTTGAACTTTTTTTTAAAATCGGATAAAAATTGTGACCTCTAGACGGACCACAAGCTGAAAACGCAACTTTCCTTACAATCTGGGGCCATAACCCATGAAGTTATGGTCCGATATGCGTGAATATCGAAAAGAACCAAGATCTTTGGGTTGTAAACATAAAAATGTGACCTCTAGAGTGTCCACAAGCTAAAAACATGATTTTTCGTACAATCTGGGGGCATAATCCATTAAGTTATGGTCCAATAATGCCAATATAGAAAGGAACTGAGATCTTTGCGAGATTAACCTATATTTCAAGTTTCATCAAAATTTAATAAAAATTACGACCTGAAGAGTGTCAACAAACAAATTGTGGACTGACTGACTGACGGACATGGGTGACGACAATATACACCCACTTGAAAATGTGGGCATATAAAAATGAAACATGAATTGTCACAATGACTAAAAGGTCAGTATATTCAAATCTATTTGACTAATATTTGGAAATCAAATAAATCTGATGATTACAGAATTTATTTCACAGAATATAAATTAGAAATTATTTTATAATATGGACATCAAATTCTTTGGACAATAATCACAGCCAATTTCAACATCAATATTGGTCGACAATATTCGCCTGCTAAATTCATTAAACAGTATCATACCTGGAACAGTTGACTTAATTTTGGGAACTGTTCTGTTCATCAGCATGTTTCGTAGTTTTGCTTGTTTTTCTGGACTGACAGAGCCCCCTGGTGAAGCTTTTAAGGATGATCGTCTGCTACTTCTATTTGAAATATCACTAGAATAAGAATTAAAAAGCTAGAATCAAATATTTTTTGGAGCAATTTCAGAAAAAATATTCCAACATCTAACCCTAACTAAAACAAGCCCTTGTTCGCTTCTATTTTAATACAAGCCAACAGTGAGGTTGATGTCCCCCGCCGAAATCCCAAAATAAATAGATGAAACATATTAATCGCACATTTATCTTTTTCAAAAGTATTGAGCAATCAAACTGACTATCTATACTTAATCTAAGCATAAAATGTTCATGATCAAACTTAGTTAAGGTTTTGAAGTACCTGGTAGTGTATTAAAAGCTGAGTTGTTATGTTCCAAAGTCTTGACCAATGAAATTGCTTATCACTACTTGCCGAAGCAGAAAATTCTCATTATCTCAATTAGAATCAAATTTGTCGAGCTCCAAAGTATTGACCAATCAAGTTATTGTGTCCCAAAGCATCAACCAATCAAATTGCTTATCTTTGCTTACCTTAAGTTGTGTCCCAAAAAGTCTGACAGACAGACGGACAAACAAACCCACTTTTAACAGTCCCATGCTTTCTTCGAAAGGTGGAGGACAATAAATAATGTGGTATAGATATAAAACAGTGGCTCAATAACAAGATCGCAAGTTCATTCCAGGTGCTGGCCAAGAAAGTTCATCAGTATTTACTAGCATGGTTTCCCCTTGTCAGTGGTGCAAGATGGAGAAAGGGCTTGCAAGGACCTGCATTTAGTCTTTAGGATAGGAATATATACTGAGGTCCTATGCATACGTTGGCCTGCATAAACAAGAACTTGGAATTCGAAATGAAGAGTAAGCAAACTTTCCTTCATAGAAAACTTTAACCCCATTTTATTTTGATTATGATATTTAAATCTGATTATCGAAAAAAAAAATATCAGGCTTGTAATACTTGAAAATGAAAGCCATAGAGTTGTTACCTGTGTGTGAGAGAATTAATTGTTTCTGATAAATTATGTTTTAATGGTGATTTATAAAGCTGTAAATGTTTCAGTTGTTCCTGTATTTCATCCATCTTGTTTCGTTGTCCAGTTATCAGGTTGTGATTACTCTTTAAAGCCCTGTATATGGCGTCACTGGTCGGTATCTGAATCCTGCAAGAAAAAATTTAAACAGTCATATATGAATCCTTCAAGAAAAAATTTAAAGTCATATATTCAAAGCCCTGTAGACAGCATAAGTGGTCGGTATCTGAATCCTGCAAGAAACATTTTTTAAAGAGTCATATATATTTATAGTTTCTATGCATCACTTGCATTTTTCGGGAAAATATCAATTTTTCATGGCTTAAAGCAAGCTAAACTGTACTCAAATTGACAATTTAACAAAACCAAAATATCAATAGTAGATAATCTAATGGATTAGATTCAGTCAGATTAAAAAGAGGCCCATCAAAAGATAGATGGCTAGTATTGACAATATCCTATATCATCCGCAGTAGATGCCAGTGAAATGAAATGAAAAGGGGTTTAACATCCTACTGTTCTGCTCTGACTTGGCTATTGAAGACGGGCATACACCCTACAGTATGCTATGAAGGGGGAAGAATAGTAGGCTGTGTAACACTATTTCATTTCATTTCGGTTAGTGAACATTCACCATACTCGCTCAGCCACTACGTGGTTTCCGAAAATGTATAAAATATTGCTTAAAACTCCATAAAACTTGCTAGTATTGTTGTATGTCTTCTTACCTTCCAGTTTTAGCTTTTCTGTTTTGATATGAATCCCACTGTGTATCAAGAATCAAATCCACATCACGAACACCCTGTTCTATAGCTTGATATTGTTGTTGTAATTTCTTTAAAGTATCGGCACTAGCTGGATCTAAGGCTCGCGATCTCAACAGTTTATGATATCGTGGATCGTTGTTTCGTTCTTTCCTTACATTACAATCTTCTGCCATGGCGTAGGAATCTAGATATTGTGATTTTTGGTCAGCCACTTCACGACTTTGATCCTAGATTAGGAAAAGGAATTAATAATACTAACAACTCCTATTCTAGGGTTTTATATAAACAAATGTAGTCAATCACTCATCATCATTGTAAAAAAATATATGAAGAGCCCCGGGATGGAACGATCTAAGTCACTTTTTCAATGAACCCCAGTTAATGGCGCCATCTTGTAGTAAATTGTATAAGCTTTCTGCGGAACAATCAATTTCAGGTAAAGTCACATCAAACTAAGGCCCTTCTGAAATGGCCTTCTGGACAAATACAAGTCCATCGTACTCTTTATTTGACTTTAATTTGGCTGAAAAGTGGAAGTCGTTGTTGTACTGGTAATTATGATTCATATTAAACATCATTTTGAAGTTGTAATTAAACCCACTGGAAGTCAGTTGTTGTACTGGTAATTATGATTCGTATTAAACATCATTTTGAAGTTGTAATTAAACCCACTGGAAGTCAGTTGTTGTACTGGTAATTATGATTCGTATTAAACATCATTTTGAAGTTGTAATTAAACCCACTCGTTGTTCTGTTCGCGACAAGCATTCTCATCCAAAAGTCTGTTTTGTCTTTTATGCAAAAAGACAAAAATGTGACTTAGATCGTTCTTCCCCTGGACTCTTCATATACATTATTCTGTGTGAAGTTATGAGTGTTTGTAGTTTTGATAAGAATAACAGTCTTGTTTGTCATTACAACGATGATAAACAAAGTATTGATTTTCTGGCCACAGTAAATGGCCACAGTATTCTAATCTACTTAAAACCGGAGCTATCCAATGGCCCAGAGAGTTGATAGTGGGCCTGTCAAGTAATAAATTTTTAAATAATAATTTATGTAGCATTTGAAGCTAGAAAAAAAGAACCTGCAGTAGGCAGATTGAGTTCTTACATAATGTATCTTTAAGGCTGACCTTAAAAATATCTTTGTTTCGCCTAACGCGACCGACTAACTAAAACCACCCCCGACTTAAATTATTTTATTGCACTTTTCCGCGATCTTTTTATTTTATTTTGTGTGTCAACCTGAAATATATCACGAGAGTTATTTCCCTTTACTATGGCTATGGTTTGATTCATTATTGAAACTGGTTGATCAAGACGAAAGCGTCATAGGTGTCGCTTCTCAACAAAATGGTTGCAGACGAAAGCACGTCCATTCCCACGAAATGATTCTGCCTCTATGTCTGTGGGGCGTCGTTTTAAACATGACGACGATATTTTCAATATCCGTTTTCGAGAAAAATGAAGGCACAACCCGCACGATCGTTAAAAACATGTTGAGGGAGTTTCAAACGTGAGTTTGTGGCAATTTGTGTGCGAGTCGTGCATCAAGAAAAATCCCGATGTCATTGATTTGTTTGCCAATAAAAGAAGACGAATGTTTGCACCCGAAAAATTATCAAGCTGTCAAATTAGCTCTTAAAAAAAAAATTTGAAAAAAAAAACGACTTACCGACCCTTCTCCTCGATTGTGGGTCGGGTTTGGTGAAACAAAGATATTTTTAAGGTCAGCCTAAGAGTGACATAATCCATAATCCCAGCTTTATGACAGCATACAAATGGGATTGAGACCAATCAATGAATTAATATGGAAGACAAGTTAAAAGTATTCAAAAAAAAAGTCTTGCAAGTACAAAATCATAGCTCCTGTTGCCATTACCTTTGTCAAATCACGAACTTCTTTACAGAATTGTGAAAAATCTTCTGTAGACTGTTTGATTTTTTGCATTTCTCGTTTAGTACCAATTTCACATTTACAGTCGGCTGTCCTAGCTTTCAACTCCTGTAATTCTTGCTCAAAATGAGCCATCTACAAAAAAGAGAAATAGTTATTTTGGGACAATCTGATCCTATTTCGTTTCGATTTTTATAGTTCAAAATTTTGTTTTCCTTGACTTTTCTACAATAGGATCTGGAAGAGTAGTTGTATAACCTTCGTTCTGGTTGATATGAGGGATTAGCCAATGACACCTGTCTCTTACGGCAAGTTCTTGACCTGCTGTGCAAGGAACTGTGGGTATTCCACTAAAAACATCAAAGCTGATTGGTTAATCAAATGTCTGACATCATAGGTTCAAAAACAGTTTGTATGACCCCTGACGAAACCTTCCACTATAACTGGTCAGATCTTTATATAGTAGAGGCCATTGAAAGTATATATAAAAAAAACCGAAATATTGATCTGTATTTTAATCCGATTGATTTTGGGATGAACATATGGTACAATTTTATTTCAATGATTCACTTGCTATGGTGATCTTTACAGTGGCAGAAAACTGGGAGAAAATCCATGATGTAGGACAGACAATGCCACTTCTTGTTATGTTCAAGCTTGGGATCAGAACCACAACACTTGATTAAATAAGAGAGGGGTCACGGTGGCTAAGTGGGTAAGACACTGGCTCGCTAGCCTGGAGGTCGAATTTTCGATCCCTGCATTAGCCCAGAAAGTTCATCCAGATTTTCCGGCGTGGTTCCCCCTTGTCAGTGATGCAGGTCAGATGGGACGAAAAACCTAGGTCCAGTGTACACATTGGAGTGCGTAAAAGATCCCTCAACAGTTGGAATTCGATATAAGAGAGGGCCGTGGTGCCGCTGTCCGGGCAAAATTTCCCGCATAGCTCAATGTATGGCGTATGCCCGTCTTCATTAGCCCAGTTCGGAGCAGAACAGTAGGACGTTAAACCCCATTTCATTCAATGACAGACAATATGATCTAAGTAGAAATATTTCACGAAGCATTAATAGGGAACAAAAATTGGAAATAGGAAATGTAAGCATCCAGCACTTATCCCATAGTAATGTGGGGGCATAGAGTGGTATAAATGTCCATATTATGTTTGTATTTATCCAGTCATTCAGAATGCATAAATTACGGTAATTACCTCCTCTAGAATACTCTCGGTAAAAGTCATTTCACTAGTTTCATGTATCAGCGTATCAACAGATTGCTGGTTGGTTGTTACACCAGATTCATTCACTTTTGGCTGAGCTGAAAAGATATTTAAGTAATAATATATATTATCAGAACATACAAAGATGGCATCAACATTATCTCCCAACATAAATACAACTACAAGAAATGAAATAAAATGAAATGGGGTTAAAAGTCATACTGTTCTGCTGTGACTGGGCTAATGAAGACAGGCAAACACCACACAGTGTGCTACGAGGGAAATAGCATACACGTAAAAGAACCCTTGACAGTTGGAATTTGAAATCAGAGTAGGCCGTAGTACGGCTGTCCGGGTAAAATTTCCCTCACAGAACACAGCATGGCGTATGCTTGTCTTCATTAGACGTCGGATCAGAACGGACAGACGTTAAACCCATTGCATTTCTATTCTTTTTGCTTGTAGATTTAGCCAACTTTACAATTGCCTAAAATATTTATAAACTTTGGATTTAACAGAATTTTTGTAAACTTTCGACTTGTCAGAACTTTATCATAAATGTGTTTTAACCTACGTGTTGCTTGCACGAAAGTAGTTACAAGAGTCGATCTAGTATCACCACTAATACTAGTCACACCACCACCTCCACCAATAGCTGTTGGTTTAGATATCCCAGCACCTAAAATCATACAAAAATAAATTATTAAATCATCAGACAAATGTCCTCCTTAAAGCGAGAATTTCATATTTTTAAGTTATATTTTTAAAATGTATTAAAACAAAGCCTTAAAATAGATGGTATCTATAAACAGTTCTACCTTGTTAAAGGGACAATAACACTCTTGCTGGCTTGAAAGCTCCAGAAAATAAATAATATCTCTATCTAAGTACTAGATGTTTAAGTGTCCTATCTGTTGTGTAAATTATCCATTACATCCTATTTTACTTGCCCAGAGGGTTAGAAAATATTTTTAAATCGAAGTTTCATTTGAAAAGGTTTACGTTAGACGTTTCAAACCATTATGTTGAATTCTTCAAAATTTTTAAATAAGGTGTGTTAAGATGAAATTTGTATCATCAATTAATTGAAATATTCTAAAATAGTACAATTTGTTGACCAGAATAAAGATTGGGACATATTATTCAGTTACAATAAGAGTGGTATTGAGCCTTTAAAGAATAATCCTATTAATCCTATAATTCACTATTGCCAGTTGTGAAATTGGCAAAAATATCATTTTCAACTTCAAATTCAAACGTTTGAAGATAGCTATTCCATGAGGGAAATAGAAAAAAAAGGGAGGTAATTGTGTTATTATTTCCGGTGTGAAAGATTTTATAAGTGTGATAATGATACCTATGATCGTATAATAGTGACTTGACAACCTATTGAGCAAAAGACAGAGAAATAATTATGTTTTGGCTTTCTTAGAAAATATGAAATTCTTGCTTTAACTACTACACACCGAGAGAGAAATGGGGTCTGACATCTACTCAATGCCGACTGGGTCATTTCAGACTAAAATATCCTTCAATCTTACTTCAATAGTTAGATTGCGCGTAGTGGTTTTAGTAGTACAGGTAAACCCGAGGACCTAGAGAAAACCCACAAGGTAGGGCAGGCAACCCTACACCTGGTCATGTACAACACTGAGATTGAGAGTCACTTGAATCGATGAAAGACCTTATGATGCTTCAGACCACTAAACCACCCACCTTTCATAAATCACCTAAGAGTATAAATATAACAAGTTTGGATTCTGCAGACATTCAGTTTTAAAGTATATTCCAATATATTTTTTCGGTGATTTGGATAGCATCTAAAATGCCCCGATCAGAAATCTTACAAGACCAAAATGAAGATCATAAATGATGTAAGGCCACACAAAATAAATGTCTTGTTTCTCGGGCAACTGACAGCTGAAACTGTAGGGAGGGAGGGCGGTTTCTTTTTTTTTTTTACTCATTGATGGTGCAAAATAAAATTTGGTTATTGCTGAAAATTGTTGGGGCGGGAGGGCGGTCTTTCTTTTTTTTTTTTTTTAAATGAGAAAGTCATTACTTGTTTACGTTTTTGCTTTCCGTTATATTCAACTTTATTGTACATACTTAAAACATAAACCCAAAATCAAGTCTACTAAAACACTGAGACTGAACACTGACTGAAAGGAAAATAATTTTCCATATTTAATTCACATAATTGAAATTGGTTTAAAATAAAATTCCATACGACTATGTAATAGCCCTCCATAAAGACAACAATATTTTTAAAAACTAAGCCTCTTTCACCAGGTGTATCAAAAATAATAATCATGGTAAACAGTATTTAAAACTAAATCTAGTATCGCCGGTTTATTTATAATTATTTACCGAATTCCAACCAATGCATGTCACACCGTGTCATCGGTATTGGAGATTGCCGGAAATACTGTTTCTTGGGATATTCGGTGTGTTTCTCAGGATATTCGGTGTTCTATCCGGTGTTTATATTGAATGACTATTTAAATCTAACTAACAACTGGTCAGTAAAACCATCAAATCGGTAATCCAATTATTATTTTCCGGATTATCGAAACTACCGTAAATGTGCTAATAATGACCCAGATTCTAAGGTATGCATTATGACGACTATCGTCATCGTATCGTATTCTTAGCTATAATTAATTAACCTGTTCATTATTTTATCAATAGGATTTTCCAAACAAGGACCGACTGAAGCCGGCAATAATGAGCCGATTACGATCGAATGATTGAAATATTGTCGCCAATGACTTTTAACACGAATCAAATTCTAGTTTATCAGGGGAGGTAATTAATATCACGTGATACAAAATGGAGGTTCTTTCGATATCAATAAAAAAGGCAAATCTGCCAAACTTCGCCATTGTTCGGATAAAAAAGACAGCATGTTCATCTGAATCAGTTTTAATACATATACATGTATGGCGGATGTAGGTACATGCGGGATATTTTTTTTACGACTTGCTTGTCGATGTGCGGGCGGGCGTTACATATTTATTTTTTTTCATCAAGACTAATAAATAGACTGCACGTGCAACCAATTTTGCGTGCGGGCGGTGCCCGAGAAACAAGTTATTTTATTTGTGTTGCCTAAACATTCAGGTTTCTAAATATATTTTAGATGATCTTTTCGGTGGTGAGGAAGGCATCTAAAATCCCACAAAACTGTGTGAACGATCAGCATGGATATTAATTACCTGATACAGAAGATGCTGGAGCTCCACTGAACACACCTATACCTGCTCCTGTAGAGATTGATGGTTTGCTGGTAAATGGTGGAACAGCTGATGATTCTGTCTTCACTGTATTACCTGTAGGAAAGGATGGTGTCCCAGAAAACGGAGACAGTCCCGAACCAGATGTTGTGTTTCCAGAGCTAACCTGAAATGGCAATTTGGCAGGAGTTGTTCCTCCAAGGGTGCCGGCAGTAGTAAATGCATTTGTTCCACCAGTTCCAGTAAAACTGAAGGATGATGTGGAACCAAAAGCAGGAACCTGTGAACTAGGTACACTGCTGGTTGGAGTAGCCACTGGTTTAGTGCCAAATGGTACTGTTGGTGAAGCAGATGAGCTAAATGAAAATCCTGAAGTTCCAGTACCTCCAAATATGGACTTGGCTTGATTGCCAATATTAACTGCAGCAGACGTTGGAGTTGTGAAAGAAAAGCTAGATGGTGCAGATGGCTGAGTGAAAGTTGATGGTCCTTGAGTTGTTGTTGCTGGTGCAGAAGCTGTTGGTTTGGAAACAAACTGAAAAGAACTTCCCACTAGGGGATTGGCTAGAGCTGGAGCTGGAGGTTTAGCTTGAGCTTGAGCTGGAGGTTTCGGTCCATTTCCTTCTAAAACAAAACAACAAAAAAACAAATGAAAATAGTCAAATTGATTTTAGTAATGACAAAATCAGATTGAGAATTACTTGAACAATACATTGCAAAATACCAAACGTCTGAAAATATCAACATCAGAAAATGATGTGTATGATGTTTGTGTAATGTTCAATTCTTGATTTTATCTGTACAAGACACTGTAATTGAAGTGCTGGGAGTGTAAATAAAATGAAATGGGGTTTAACGTCCTACGGTTATGCTCCGACTGGGCTAATGAGGACGGTGTAGGGATTGTCAGATCACTGTTTTAAGATTATCAGAGTAATTAAATGTATGGTAGGGATCATAATAAGTTAATCATATATCTTTTATTATAAGTATGTTATAAATACAAGTCCCTGGGATCAACTGGCTTGGATCAACAATATGTCTTCCATCTACTCTATTACATTTATTTATTATCAATGATTAATATATTTACCGATAGCCTTCCGTTCTCCTGTAGCCGAGAGAATCTGTGGTGGACTGGTTACCATGACAGCATCAGGATGAGAATATATCATATAAAAGGGTATCAGTAGACCGTCTGTTGACAACAATAACAATAGTGGGGAGGCTGCTTCTGCTTTAGGATCTAAAAAAACAAAATACAAACCAATTAAAAATGTGGTGCAATAAAGGTTTCATATATATATTGCACCACATTTTTGTTAACTAATCATTATTTGCTTGATAACGATACCTGTATGTATATCGAAAAGTAGCATGTTATTAAAATTCAGAAGTAGTATATCCATATAAGTGTGTTTATTTTTAGTGAAACCTATTGCTATATGTCTTATAATGATTATATATACCAATTTTTCAGCAGTTTGATCAATTGAAATCACATGAGTTCTTTTAAATTCTGAAACTCTTGATTAATCATATTGAGAAAGAGTGCCAAAGAATTCCATTCTGTCTATTCCAATAATCTTAACTTGTGTCTGCAAGTACCATCTCAAACATATTGAACATTGAACGAGTTGTATTTATCGCATGGTATTGTGAGACAAACATATGGTTCAATTTCATTTCAATAATTTGCTTGCACGAAGGGGTTTTTAATTAGCAGTGGGAGGAAACCAGGGGACCTGAAAATTACCCGCCTCAGACCATTTGACCACCCAACCTTCCCCCCCAATAAAACGAAATTAAGCATAATATATGCAAGGACCATTTTCAGTCTATATTTACCAGGACATGCAGATAAATAACATATTGAGAACCCAACAGGAAAGGAATCATTTTTCTGTTCTGTTAATGGTAATTCAGCTCTACCAGAATCTTCTAATATCCAATGTTCCCATGTTAACTGAAATATATAAACATGTTTTAAATTAACTTATACCATGTTAACTGAAAAATATAAACATGTTACAAATTAACTCATAACATGTTAACTGAAATATAAAGAGGTTATAAATCAACTCTTGTTAACTGAAATATATCAGCAGGTAATTATAAATTAACTCATACCATGTTAACTGAAATATAAAGAGGTTACAAATTTACTCATACCATGTTAACTGAAATATATACATGTAAACATGTTATAAATTAACTCAAACCATGTTAACTGAAATATAAAGAGGTTATAAATCAACTCTTGTTAACTGAAATATATCAGCAGGTAATTATAAATTTACTCATACCATGTTAACTGAAATATATACATGTAAACATGTTATAAATTAACTCAAACCATGTTAACTGAAATATAAAGAGGTTATAAATTAACTTATACCATGTTTAATGAGATTTATAAACAGGTCACACACACACACACACACACCATTAAGAGTGGTAGGAAGAAATCACCACTCAACACTTTTTTTTCCCAGGACTAACCTATATTTCTTGTTAGCATACAGGGGCCTGTTTCACGAAATTTTAACTAAGATACAATCCAAATTTTAGTAATTTGATTGGATAATATTTGATTGATTTTAGTGCTCAGCCAATCAAAACTGAAGTATCTACTAAAATTTGAATTTTATCTTTAGGATTTCGAGAAACAGGGCCCTGGTCGTTATAAGTGGAAATATCATTGACACTTGTCACATACAAAGAGAGAGAGAAATGGGGTGTAACGCTTACTCAAGACAAACCAGGTCATTTTGGGACTAACATGCTACAAAAGAGGTCTTTAGCAGTGGAGGAAACAAGAATACAGAAAAAAACCCAGAGGTTGGACAGATGGCCCTACTTCTTGTCACCTACAAGCTACGAATGAATTTCATGTTGTTCTTGTAGTCAAGAGATGAAAAGTTACCCATGACATTTAACAGGATATTTTTTCACGTTCCTTACCTTGTCGTTAAGATTTTTTCCTACTATAGTTGTCTCTGTAGCATTTGCTGAACTTATTATAGCCATATCCCTAAAAAAAACAACAGAAACTTATAAAACACACAGCTAGTATATTCTCTTTCAAAATCGCTTCCATTGCCGTAATTCGACCAATCAATATCTTCGCCATTATCGCTCATTATAAGAGCTATCGCATCCGTTGCATTTAGAATACAGAATTTGCCAAAATTAAAATGTAAACAAGTGGAAGAAATTTGCTATTTACAACAGACCCGGAGCAAATGGTAAACAGCATTTTGATTGGCTATTTTGTTATTGTTAAGGAAGCGTGTCTAGAGACACGCCCACAAGTAGGGAAAACGATATTTTGGGTATATGTGCTACAATGTTAAAGCCAGTTTTGCGGTTTTTCAGGTTGTTGAGAGACTTTTACTAAAAATTCACAACCACAATGTTTTTAGCAATTATTGACAATCCTTTTTGTCAATTTTGGGTATATGTGCTACAATGTTAAAGCCAGTTTTGCGGTTTTTCAGGTTGTTGAGAGACTTTTACTAAAAATTCACAACCACAATGTTTTGTTTAGCAATTATTGACAATCCTTTTTGTCAATTGTTTTTAAACATATTCATTTTATTTATAAAGAGTCATGATTTCTTTCACAAATTGTTCTATTATGATGTTACAACTTACCATTTCAATATTAAATTCATGTAATATTTGGCATTTCGTTCTTCACGAGTTCCAAAACAAATATCTTCAAAATTATCATACTTTGTGTTGCCTTCTTTCTGTAACAACCATCATGGATTATCAATATAGTTATCAAACAAAAGAATTAAATTAATCTGAAACATCAGTATATATGTCATGCTTATTTGTACAAGAGAGAGGGAGAGAAATGGGGTTGAACGTCCACTCGACACAAACTAGGTCATTTCGAGGCTAACACATGGTTCAATTTTATTTCTATAATTCGCTTGCGCGTAGGAGTCTTTAGCAGTGGGAGAAAACCGGAGGACCCGGAGAAAACCCACGAGGTTGGACAGACAACCCTACTCCTTGTCACGCACAACCGGGGATTCGAAACGACACAAGTTGACTCAATGACAAACCTTGTGATACAGCACGCACGTGCTAACCATTCAGCCATCCAACCCCCCCTTATTTGTAAGAGAAGAGTTGAACTGTTATTGAGATTCAGAAGAAATGAAATAGGGTAAGACGGGAATACGCCATACAGTGTGTGTGCTATGAGAGAAATTTTGCCTGGACAGTGGTACTACAGCCTACTCTTATATCGAGTTCCAATTGCCAGGGGTTCTTTTATGTGCAAGCAAATGTGCACACAGGACATCGTATTTTCATCCCATCCAGATGACTATACATAGTCCCTTGTCACCCTCCATCCTGCACCATTGACAAGGGGAACAATGACAGTCAAAACAGGAATCTAACACAGAACTGTTAGATGATGTTAATGGGACGTAAATAACTCACCGAAGATTATATTAGCACGACTTGTAACTTACTGGAGGTGATATTAGCAGGACTTGTAACTTACTGAAGATGTTATTAGCATGACCTGTAACTTACTGATAATGATATTGACGGGACTTGTAACTTACTGGAGGTAATATTAATAGGACTTATAACTTACTGATGACGTTATTAGCAAGACTTGTGGTTGATCCGATTCACCTACTGTCTGTGGTAAATACGCCACTAGAAACATATATGTTGACAACCATACAATATCAATCACTGAAAATAAATATAAAATGAAAGTAGATTTATGACAGAATGAAATGGTGCTTAAAGTCTTACTTTTATGCACCAATATTAGGCTTATGATGAAGATGAGCATTTATCTATATACAATGCCATGTTTTAATAAGGAAATTCGGCCGAGACGTCAGCACCTACAATTCATTCTAACTGGACCTCTGTACACTAGTTGGTCTGATGGTAGAATCAAACATGGGTGCAGACAATCTTTTCAAACAGTCTGATGCGGGAAGGAGGTTTTTATTTTTGTATTTTTATTTTGTCAAATGGTCGAGTCACTACTGGGCTGAATGAATTCTCACATCACATTTCAAAGCATTAATTTATCTCATCATGTTGTGTATAGGATTGTATTTTATCAGGGTTGTGTAGACTTCAAATTTTTGCTTCCTGTAACTGAGGGAAAATACCTACATGAGGTAATTAATAATATTATTACGTTTTATTTTCTGAAATAAAAAAAGATCAAGCGGGCATATCTTAAGCGACACAGGAGTATCTGAGAACCAGAAATATTATTTAGTATGGCCTAATAACATGTCATATTTACCTTGATATGGACCAGCTTCCTGATCGAGTACAGGAGGACATGGCCAGTTCTTTCGCAATTGTAAAGTTTTATCATATTGGGACAAGGTTCCATCTTTTTTACCAATAACAAACTGCTTGCCTTTAGGACTCCAACACACTGAAACAAATACAACACAGATCTTCATGGATAACAAGATGATGACTACAAGATCCCCGGGTTTTTGACTGACCAGAGCATTTTTACACTGCTAAACGCACATATCGTGAAGGGAGCTGCATTGGCTCGGCGATTAATACGCTGGCTTGCTTTGTTCTATCTCGGTGTTGACATAGAAAGTTCATCAGGATTTGTCAGTGTTGTTCGCCCTTGTCAGTGGTGCAGGACAGAGGGCCCGGCAATGAATGTGTTATATGGTCATTCGAATGAGACGAAAAACCAAGGTCCTGTGTACATGTTGGCATGCACGTAAAAGATCCCTTGGCAAAATGTCTTCATTAGCAAAGTTGCAGCAGAACAGTAGGATGTTAAACCCCATTTCATTTCACATGTGGTGAAATGACATATTTTAAGGAGTTTAACACTACAACACAATAAATACAGTTAATATGTTCCCTCTTAATCCAATCACTCTACTTATAAATGAATTGCGACAAGACATTTGGAAAGTATTTGCTTCACTCGTTGCATATTCAATTGAAAGGATGATAATGTTGTGTGGGTTTCAAGCATACAAACTCAATAATAGAAAATCTGCTGCTCAGTGGCATTGCATTCAATTGCCATTATACTTTTGAAGCACTGGTTACAAACATTATGAGCTCATTAAACAATGCTACTTGTAACATGTTCTTTTCGTTGAATAAGCTGATTGTTTTCCCTCTTGTAGCAATAACTAGACAGTTTCAATGTCAATGCACACTTTTGTTGGTTTTTGCTAGTTCTAGTAGAAATCATATAGAGAAGTGGGGTGGGTTTTCTACGTATTAACAACAAGCATGTTGAGCAGGTGTCAATGTTACAAGTCATTTATAGCATGCTTCATTCGTTAACAGGTTTAACACCTCAGCCCACGACCCCTGTGTTTAAAACTGTTAACTCATGAAAGCTGTCACTATAAATATAACATATACTATGGTAAAGTGATGTTTCTGATAAGTTATCTTCGTTGGTTCTGGTATGTAATAACAAATCAGGCCCCTTTTCTGAAGCAATGCTTACAAGCATTATGAGCCCATTAACCATTGCTACACACACTATGGTAAAGTAGTGTTTCTGATGAAGTAATCTGTCACTTGGTCTTGTTTCATGTAAAACTTTAAAGTAGGCACGTAAAAACAGACTTTTTCTAGGAATCAGTTACTATGACGACTGGCTGTTCAAGCATTATAATACTTACAACAATTAGCTCCAATACTACTGGGTAAAGTTAAAACATTAATACTATCATCTATTTCCAACAGTTCAACAGCACCATCAGATGTACATGTCAATACAGTATTACCAATCTCTGGGTTCCACGCTAAATCAGACAATGTTGATCCTCGGCTACCATTAATCCGGATTGTTTTAAAGGGATTAGGCCGAGCACCCTGTAATTTAAATAAAAAAGTTTGGTATAACATTAATAACAAGTCAACAACAGGGCTGATGTTCCCTAACTCAATCCCAAAATAAACAGATGACACTCATTAATGACTTAGCACATTCATCTTTTTACAAAGCATCAAGAAATCAAATTGTTATCTCTCTTCTTTAACCTGAGCAGAAAATGCTTATCAAACTTGGTCAAGGTATTGATGTAATGAAACTATAAACCAAAAACTCAGCACTCATTCAACTAGAATCATTAATTTCAATAGACTCAGTCAAGGTATTGATGTAATGAAACTTTACACCCCAAAATAATGAAACAAAATGAAATGAGGTTTCAGCTCTGACTAGGCTAATGAAAGTGTGCTCTATGAGGGAAATCTTGGCCGGACAGCAGCACTACGGCCTACTCTTATATTGAATTCCAACTATCAAGGAATCTTTTACATGCATGCCATGTGTACACAGGACCTTGTTTTTCATCCCATCCAAATGACTAGACAGCTGTCCTTGTCAGGCCCTCCATTCTGCATCACTGACTCCCAGCAGCTTTAAATAGCAATCAGAGTTGTTACTTATTATTTTATGACAAGTGAATGTGTTTTAACATCCACTTAACATATTGTACAATTTTATTTCAATAATTCGCTTGTGTGTAGGGGTCTTTAGCAGTCCAAATAAACCTGGAGGAACCAGAGAAAAACCCACAAGGTTAGACTGGTGACTCAACTCCTTGTCACTTGCAAGTGCTGGATCGAAACCACACCACTTGACTCAATGACGGAACCGTATGATCTAAAGCGCATGCATTAAATAATTTGGCCACCCAAGCCCCATATTTTGATGTTGAATAATTTAGTTTAAGACATTACCGGTTGTGAAAATCCTCGAACATCATATAAATAGAGTATAATATTATCATTGGCAATACAACCAACAGTTAATGTCAGGTCATCACAACTCAGGGCTAAATGTATTACAGAGTCAGTGATTGGTAGAAATGTATATACTGGTATGTCTTGTGTAAATTTTTTACCACGTTCTGTGATATGCTGACAGTCTAGTTTGATCAGCTCTTGTATATCTGCCACCTTTACTCCTGAAAAATATTTTAATGATTTCATTGAAAATAGATATCTACATATACAATGCCTCCATACTATTCAATAATTACATATACAATTCAATGAATAACACAACCCTCCCTTAGAAATGGTTCCACTACTGATGTCTTCCGCCTTACTCCAGCCACAGTAGTGGCTCGTCCTACGGAGTTCCTTTGCGCAAGTTTTTTAGTCAAATGACTACAAAAAGGTTACTGGCCTATAGCCCCCTTAATTTACACATAAACTGACACAAACTGTACTGCACTTAGCTTAACATATAATAAACCAATTTCCATTGAAATAAAGGTGAAGCCTTACCGCATAATTATACGATATGAAACCCAACTGCTACGCGAAATTTCTTGCCTTTTTTTAAAAAAAAAACAACAAATAAAAACACATTATTTGTGTTAAACCTATATTCATTAAGCACCTAGCAGACAATTTGAAATAATAATAATAAAATTGTGGGCAACACATCATTTCAAAACACATATTTCTGATACTGTACCATCTTTAACAGCAATAAATATCAATCCATATTTTGAAGAGGTGGTCAGAAGTTGAACTCGTTCTTTGGGAACTTCTGGAGTTGAAGTCACTCTAAATTTACATAACTGCTGGAATCGAAATTCCTGCAAAATAAACAAAACTAAATCAGTAATAATAATAAGAGAATCACTTGAAGTTGAGAATCTTTGGTAAAATTATATTGTTTCTGATAGTAAGTCATTTGTTTTGTAACAGCTTCCATAGAACTCATGATGATAAAGATCTTGTAATTGTTATGCAGGCTACTTAGCTACGAGAATGTAGATAAAAACGTTGAGATATTGAGATATACTTGTTTTTAGCTACGATTGGGTGCCTTTAATTTCACCCGACAAACTTAATTTCATTATTAATACATATAACATCTTGAAAATAAGTTAATTTTATACTACATTATTAGGACTTATTAAACATACACACACCACTCTAGTGAAACAACTTTGGTTTATCTGCAAATATTGTCATTAAATTAAATCAAGTGTTGTTTTTATCAAAATTGATACAGACATTCATAATTACGGTGTATTATTCCTACGCAACTCACATCAGGTTAGTACTTTGATTGGCTGTTGTACACGACGCCCCACCTTCATGACGTCAAAGGTGTCAAATAAAAAAGGCTGGAGAACCAGGCTATTATCGCTTCGATTTAAAAAGACAAGATTTGTACCTGGCTGCGGCAGGTAGGATTATATGTTTAATTGTAGCTGAATGTGGTCGAAATGTTATGAATAACAATAATCAATCGTTGTTTTGAAAAAAAAATTGTCAGGTCTGCTAATGGAAGGCCTGATGTGATCTCTGTAACTGTAAGGGTTTGCCAGATAGATTTCTATAGTACCATCTCTTATCGTGAAACAAGAAGGGTTAATGGATCAGGTTTCTTATCTGGCATATACTGTACTATTATGCTTACATCAAGTTATCAACATTGTATTTGTAATGTTTACTTGGTCACCAGGGCAGTGTCTGACTGGCAGTGACGGACGTAACTAGATAACTCTATTGTTTTTGAAGACGAATTTCACAGTTCAAAATAGAAAGACAAAACATGCAGTGCATATTCATTTTAATGGTGTACCATCTTAAGATCAAGTACCAAAATTAAAGACTAGTTTTTCTGAGCTACATTATATCTATTTAATAAAATTCTACTTTCAGTTTCCATTTGATTTATTTGCAAATAAAAAGAAGTCCAAGTTCCTTTTGTTTTCAAAATATTGATGTGGAAAAACAAGAGGAAATAGAATAGACACGTCTTAGTCATTCACACCTTAACATCTCTCTCGGGGGGCTGTTCTGGATTCGACATGTTGTTGTTTATATTATTATTTCATCTATCGCTTGCAACACATGACATTTTTCCGCCAAAGCCAAACAACATTCATTTAAGGGGGCAGTTATTATATGTTAAATCAAAATAAGTATCTTCACTACATTTGCATGTGACATGAATAGCATTAGTTCCAGAATCCATTAAAAACCAATTAACTTGAATTGTCGTTTTCCGGTAAGTAATTGTCATATTGTCGTTATCTTAATACAATTTTGATAATCTACATACACAAAATGATCCCAACGACGCAGCGATCCATTTTAAAGGAAAAGACAACTCTTGATGCGAAAATTTCTTTTAAAAAAATACGGTAGGCCATCATCAATTGGCGCTTTAATGAGGTGATTACGTAATGTATTTTTTTAGATTTTAGATGACATAATCGGTCTAATCCAAGTAAACAAGTTTTTTCGGGCAATCATATTATTTTCGTTTCGGTTTCTTGCAATCATTACGCTCAAGTTTTTATTTTTCTTGTAAACACGCACCTGCGCAACAACCAGTTGCTTTTATAAATTCCTAACCAGGATTTTGAATTGATTATTCCGTCCAAAAGCAAAGTAAACATTCAATAATTGATATTAAAATAGTAGAATCCAATTTGTCTCTGCATAGGAACATTTTATTAACACAGACTGATAGACCTGTACTAAAAGGCCCATGAGAAAAAGGTGAGGAAACGTGTAATTATTCTGTACTTTCTGTCATGGCTCAGTGACTGTTTTACATAATGATAATGTTGTGACAGTTGTGTGACAATGTATTACCTGGAATTGAAACTGTCAGCCTACAAACTGTCAACTTACAACTGTCAACTTTGATAGTGACAACATATGGAGACAGACTAAAAAAGGCTACAGCATTCACAAAATCTGCAGCACTCGCGAAATCTACATTTCATATTCACATACACATACATGTATGAAAGTCTCTTCAAATTTTAAATTGGTTGGATAGGAGGTACCGCGTTGGCTCAGTAAGATGTGACCTGCTGGTCAGGAGGTCTCAGGTAAGCACCTTGTGTTGGCCGAGAAAGTTCCTTAGTGGTGCAGGGCAGATTCCTGACATGGACGACTCTACTGTCTGATTCATCGTAAATTTTAAACGGATTTCTTCGATTATGAACAAACTACTTAACGTTGGTTATTATAAACTTACCTGTGTGTTTGTAATTAACTCCCGTTCGATAAAATCCATTGCACAACTAATTATCACAACGATGAAAACAAGTTCTCTCTTGAAAAATTGAAATATCACAAACTTTTCCCAGAGAAAAATACCAATGTGGAAGATGGTTACGTCACTCTGCGGAAGATATCATTTCGTATTAGGGGTGACAGCATAGGAAATTCAAGTACAATTACGACAAGAATCCATGACCACTCGGACCAAAGATCACTCGGTTCAAGACCAGTCGGACCAAGTGATAGACCACTCAGCCCAAACAAATAGACTACTCGGACCATACAAAAAGACTATTCGGACCCAACAGAAAGACGACTCGGACCAATAATAAAATGTTGTTTTAATAAATTGATAATTGCGTTTGTTTTAATATAATTACTCGAACCAATAATAAAGTGTTATTTTAATAAATTGATAATTGTGTTTATTTTAACATGACTACTCGAACCAATAATAAAGTGTTATTTGAATAAATTGATAATTGTGTGTGTTTTAATATGACTACTCGAACTAATAATAACGTGTTGTTTGAATAAATTGATAATTGTATTCCAAATCGCAAAATATCGAGAACCACACTTGTAATCACGTTTAAAAAGGGGCATATAAACGTCCGGTCTTCGTATTATTATGTGCTGTTTATATTAACGCATCAAGGGCGGATAACTTGAAAACGTGTCTCCACCCCCCCCCCCCCATATATAGTAACCCAGGGGTTAGTGGGGTAGAACGGAATGAAACCACTGGGGATACCGCGAATGTGGAAAAAGTAAAATTAGGCTATCAGACAAGAACAGTATACCCGTATATGTAGAAACTGTCAAAAGTCTGGACATACCGAGTCTCATTGCAAGAGTAAAGAAAAATTAGATTGATATTTTTTTTTGGCACCATTATTAATTAATTTTAAAACTAATCGTTGATTTATTTACGTACACAAAATTGAACCAAACAACTCTAAATATAAGAATTCCGTATAAGAATTATTTGCTTCTTTGTATTGTGATTTAATAATAAATAAATAGCATATTGTCTAGCCTTATAATATAATTTAATTGGTCCGACTGGTCTTGTTTTGGTCCGACTGGTCTTAGTCCGAGTAGTCTTTGGTCCGAGTGGTCTGGATACCTACGACAATTGGCATTGAGTTTGAGCGTTCGCACACATAACTACCCGCATTCCTGTATATAGTTACCGTCTTTTACATTCTAGTAAAATCTCTGCAAATTTTATAGCTTTACTTTTTGAAATATTTTGTTCTAATTATTTGATTAGCGACTCGGATGGGATTATTTACTTTTGAACACGCATGCCGCACAAACACAACTATACATTCGTTTTACGGGCTTTATCACACTTCGGTCAAAACTGTCGAATCGAGAATTACGGGGTCATACGGGCTTAGTAGCATTATATACCCACCCGGGCACCCAATACGGCAATAGACACGCTGAGGGCTGCCGCAACACGCTTAAAGATGTTACTGAAGCGGTTATTATTCGATCGAAAGAATGCGTATAAAATTAAAAATACACTCAGAGAATTCGGAGGTAAGCTTCATGATCCTTGTTAAATTATTTATAACATGAAGAAGATAGGATATTTATAGTTTATTCATGACTTTATTTTTACGAGTATCCGTGCAATCAGTGATATTTTAATTGTGAAGAAAATTTGATAGACTGGCGATCAATGGTTTCCATATAAATCTCCTATGTAATTGCCTTCAATTGATATTTTTCGTCGCCCAAACCCATATACGATCAAAATGATCGCGCTGTCAAACTATCTTTCAATGTTAACCAACCCCCGCAACAGGTATATTGGATTCGACCAATACGTCACGAAGACATTGTTGACATCGACTCAGTCGAAATTACAAGTAAATTTTCAAATTTTTCAAGAGAGAAATTGTTCTCATCGTTGTGATAATTAGTTGTGCAATGGATTTTATCGAACGGGAGTTTATTACAAACACACAGGTAAGTTTATAATAACCAAAGTTGAGTAGTTTGTTCATAATCGAAGAAATCCGTTTAAAATTTACGATGAATCAGACAGTAGTTGTTCGGATGGGATGAAAAATCAAGGTCATGTGTACACATTGGCATGCACATAAAATAAATCTTGACATTTGGAATTTAATATAAGAGTAGGCCCTAGTTGGTGTAGGACATACATGTAAAACCCCATTTCATTTTATAATTTTGGTTGGATAGGTCAGGATATTTACCGCAAGCCAGAGACATAATGTCATGTCATTTTCTTCCAACACGTGCAACAATAGTGATATAATCAAGGCGCAAGTCCACTTGTCAGTAGTGAAAGAGGCTATGGCAAGAACAGTGTCTAGTAGTTCCGATGAGCCGAAAATCTGAGGTCACATGTACACATTTCCAAACAAAGGTTTATTGATGGTACTTTCAAGTTTGTTGAGAAACCTTTGTCAAATCTGGTTGTCAGGTGAAAATTATTCCATTCTATCTTCTTATTAATGTCCGTGGGTGGGGAGAATTGGATTTCAACAGTGTATGAGAATGTTAGATGTGCTACAAAAAAGCTGAAGGTCAAGTATGCTGTAATGGATTTTGAGGCCACCACGATTAAAGCGTTTGTGAAAGTAATTATGTGTGATGAAAAAAGCATATCTTTTTTATTTCCCTGATCTATTTGGAGACACTGCCATGTAAATAGTTTCAGCCATGGTGGTTCAGTGAGGAAGACGTTGCTCTCTAATCTGGATGTTACATATTCGATTCCTGCATTAGAACGTTCTTCAGGATTTTCCGTCAGGGCTCACCCTTATCAGTGGTGCAGGATGGAGGGCCTGGATGGGACAATAAATTAAGGTGTTTGTATTGAACACTGGTAGAAATTAAACCCCATCTCTCTCTCTCTCTCTCTCTCTCTCTCCTGTAATAGAACATCATTTATCTAATATTCCAGAAAGGTAAAGCATACCCTTCCACATGCATGACATCACAACTTATAGTTTTGCGAGGACAAGAATGGAGACAGCTTATGAAATGAAATGGGGTTTGCTGTTCTCCACCAGCCGGGCTGATGAAGACTGACACACATCATGCAGTGTGCTACATACCAATCTGTTTCACAGAGAATTACGAGTCCTCTAATATCTCTGTAAAAGATGACTGCCTTTAACATGTGCCGTCACAGCACGGGGCGTCAATCATTGGCTGAATGGTGCGTGCATTGTTTACATAAGACGTTACTGCTTCGGGCAGAATGCTGCCTTTTAGTCATTTTAATACCCATTTACGCTAAATAGGAAATAATTTTTACCTACAAATACGTCAAACGTCTTTATTTATGTTTCTAATATATCAAAAAAATGTTTTAGAATTTAATTTGTCGGTGGAAAAAAGTTAATATTTGAGACTCATTAAGTCGCATTGATGTCCTCCTTATCAGTGATTGTAGCGGCCTAGCGAATATTCACTGCTGATCAGTGTGGCTACATACATGTACATGTATGAAGTAAGCTTAACCCAGATAGTTTTGTTTCTGCCTACATGTACATGTATCGTTCATCAAGTGTTCTTTTATATGTGCACCACCTTGTAAACAGGACCTTTTTTTGTATGATGCCAACAACTAGACACTGTTCCCCACAGCATCCTTTGTCCTGCACGACTGATAATGGGAAACCACACTGGAAAATTCTAAAGAAACCCCCACACATCCAGGTTTATAGTGAGCCAGGGTGGCTCCCTAGTGTAATTGTAGAGTAACAATATTTAAACATAGGCCTACATTATGCAAGAGCTAAATCTGCCTATTGCAGGTCTTTCTTTAGGCCTGAAATATAATCTAAATTATTAATTGGACATTAATTAACTTATCCAGGCCATAATCAACTCTCGATGGCATCAGATTTCTCCGATGTTAAATAGATTAGAACAGTTTAGCCATATTTTGATTTAAGCTAAAAATGGAGGAGCGAGACTTAGCTTAGAACAACCAGTACGGTGGTTGAAATTATTGCACACGTCTTGTCAAACCTTCGAAGGCTAATATCTTTGCTTGCAATAGAGTAATTTGAATGAAATTTTCAAATTATTCATTTTACATTATCTATTTTCGAACTATTATAGTAAGAATGGCTAGCTCTTTATCTAAATCTTACATAATTTATCTTTAATGTAGAATGAAAAGGACAGTAAACTATAAATTAAAAACAAAATTATACAAATTAAAATCCAGACAACTCGTGACTGGAGAAAAGAAGTGAAAGACTTCACTATGGACTATGATATGTACATTCTTTGTGGGTTTGTGTATAACCATTTCATCAGTGCTATGATTTTTTACTTTTTAGCGATAGAGAGATTAAGAAATCAAAGTTTAGCGTCTACTTGACATAAACTAGGTTATTTTGGGACAAACATGGTACAATTTTATTTTAAATGGTTGGGCAGTCAACCCTACTCCTTGTGGGGGGTGACTGAATGGTTAACGCATGTGT